TAGGGGGTTGGATCCAGGGAGTTGGGCCTCTTACCCATCCATGTATCCTTTGGGAATTTTCTACGGCAATTGCTCTCACCCTTGGTTACCAGTGAGAGTGTCCTGAGGGGGGCTGAACCCTTTACCCACCCACATACCCCTAGAACACGTGCTCCCACCCATGAGTCCTATAGGATCCGCTTCGGTCCTTCACCGGCCAAATCCCTTGCGGGAATTTGGAACTGTGGTTAGAAGACCTCCACACTCGATTTGGAATTCAAATCCTGGCTCCAAAACTACTTTCGTTTCCAGAGTGAGGTTCCGTCTCAATCACACTCACACACAAGCGACTGAATCCCACCCAACTGAACAGTATCCCTTATACTCACGACTCTGTCATATTCGTTCGGATCTTCGTGCAAGAGAGTTACGGGTATTTTATACTGCAGTCTTTCCTTTGGAGCTCCAATTCCTTTGACTATTGCTTCTCTTTTGTCCGTTGATCTCTGGAGACTGACCCAGATGGCTACTTTCAATCCACAATCTGTGGGGTGCCCCTCGAGAAGCCACAGTCCAGGAAAGCACACTGAGATCACGTTGGGGGTCACCAAATTGTTATAATCAGACAAAGCCAATTTTTATAAAAATATGTATTTTTATTTGGGTTCAATCAATTAAGGGTGGGAAGCAATAGGCAAAGCAGCGCTGGGTGCATGGAGAGCTGCAACTCTGCCACACACACACCGAGTTCCAAAAAAGCAGTGTTTTTTATACTCTTGTGCCATCGTCTTTAACCAATCTCCTCCTGTCAGATAGTTGTCTTGCTCTTTTCCGTTGGGTCATTTGGGTTGCTGGGGTGCGTGTCCTCCTCCTATGGGGTCTTTTGAAAGTCTCGAAGCCTTGGTCTCCTGGTGCGCTTTTCTCCTATTGGATCTTTCAAAAGCCTCATGATCTCATCTTTTGGGGGGGCTTTTCTTCAACCATCAGTTATGTGTCATCTCTAGGTGGGGTTTCTGAGACAGGGTTACATTGTTCCAACCGAATGGCACACTTTACATTTAATTGTTTAACGTTTACAGATCATTCAAGTGTATGTACCCGCCTTGCTCAACCTAGCAAATTAGTTACAATAGTTTGTTACAGCACCTGCCTTGCTTAATTTAGCAAATTAGTTACAATAGTTTATTACAGATCTAAGCATACGAGAAACGGGAATGTACTATTTCCCTTGAATGAAGAGTATTCCTAGAGAAGTTAAAAGCTGCAGTCTTAGGTATTTTCACAAACAATGAAGCTAATTGCTGAATTGGGTATTCTAAAATAGTCCTGGATTAAAAAAAAAAGATTACTTTGAGGTCAGTATTTTTAATTTCAAGAAACAGAGAATAAAATGGGAAGAGCATAATAGTATTACCTCTGTCCATCCCCTTTCTTCAGAAGCCTGTGACACTGTCTTGAATAATGAATTAAAACTCATTGAGGAGCCTTCTTGGACATCTGTACTTTACCGTCAACATAACCAGTTTTATATGGGATGCATTTATCAGTGTAATGGGTTTATTTTATCAAGAGATTAAAAGCTTTTCCATTGGATAGACATTTAAAATTAACATTTGGAAAATAAACATTAGCATATTTTCAGACGTTAATTATGAATTAGCTAATATCTAATAAAGGTCTTGTTACTGAATATCTACCAGAATTTGAGTGCTGCTGTTTGGGTCCAGTTCTCTTCTGTGTTTCCAGTTGGAACTGGGCAAAGGGGAGAAGCTGGATTTAGGTTTGAATCTCAAGGGAAGACTCCCCACCCATCCTTGGCATGTAAAAATTGTTTATTCCAGTGCTGCAAGCTCAAGTCAAAACTCTTCCAGAGTCCTTGCCATCAGTGTAGATTCTGTCATGCATATACTCCCCTTAGTATGTCCTGTATAAGACCAGAAACTGACCAGTGTCCTGGGAACTTCAAAGGAGAATATTAATATACACCCAAAAAAAGCATGTATGTGGTGAATTCCATGGACCAAACACTTCCTTGGTAGCTTTCTTGGTAATTGTAAAACAAGAAGTAGTATTCAAGGCAATAGATGAGCAGCTTTTTTCTTTGTTAGTAATTGATCCCCAGTATTCCTAGACTTAATTTGGTTGGGAATAAAGCTTCAAGGATCAAGAATAACAGCTGTTAAATTATTTCTGCTGCTTTTTACCACTTTGCTTATAGAGCTCTATTTTGGATGGCAGCCAGCGTATGCTAGTTGGAAGGTGAGATAGCAGGTTTTATTACATGAGTCAGTCCCAAGTGTTAAAAACCTGAATACACTAAGAAGTAAAACAGATGTGGGGGCTTTTTTCTAACTGTTCCCAGTTCTGGCTTCTGTGTATAGAAGCTTTAATACCATAAAAGTATTCAAATTAGCAGATTACCTATGGAGGTTAGCTCATAGCAAGGATAATAACTTGATGACCACATACATACTATTTAAAAGAAGCGTGGTGCTGGTAGGATGTTGAGATCCAAAAGTCTGGAACCTTATAGTCCAGCAAGTGATCACTGGCAAGGCACTATTCGGATTTGCATATTAAGGTCTTCATTAAGTTACAGTAGCATGTTTATTTTTTTAAAGTTAGTTGCATCTAGAAATTTTTATTCTGCACTATAGCCTTCTGTTGTAGATCAACATCTATTGGCAACTGTGACATGCTTTTTAGAAACTTCACTTATGTTGTAAATGGCATTTTCATCTGTAAACAGCTATTAGATAGTAGAGAAAGGACTATAATATACAATACTGAATTAATTTATGAAGGAGTACTGGTGCAAAGTATTTGCCATACATTGCCTGAGAGCATGGTGTGCAAACACAGTGGTACATCGGTTGCTCCAACAACCAAGAAGCTGTTTACAAGCTACAGTGCTACAAAGGGTTAGAGTGGAAAAGGATTGAGAAGGATTTAAGACCTTTTTCTGCTTCTACAGTCAACACTGAACTTTTATTGTTTGCAATGCACTTTTCAGTACTTGTAATTAATACTGATTTGAAATTGTCATGCTTTTCCTGAGCATTAAAATGTGCATATTTTACACAGCTCCATGTTCACAAAAGAATAAATGTGGATTTCTATCTCTTAAATGAGTGCATTGCAAAACTTTTTGTTTAAAGGGTAAAAAGTATTCAACTTGAAAGGTTAGATTGTCATCATTAACTTTCAATGTGATGGCACTAGCTTGCTCTGCTACACCCCATCTCCCACAGACCCTGTGTGGTGATCATCCACACTTGCTATTGGGTTTGCAGTGCACCCTTGCCTGCAAGAAAGACTACATAGATTTATAGAGCTGAATACTGGAGGGGAATAGGGAGCTTGCTGTAAAAGAGAGGATGTTGGGCAGATATAGGATAGAAGCAGAAGGAACGTCAATGAATGAAACCAGATTTGGTTTGGGGAGGGAAGTAGGTAGATTTAGGGACAAGAAGGACTCTGCCAAGGGAGCCTGCAATATAGAGGAAAAAAGTTGGGGCCAGGTGATTTATGCATTTTTTTGCTGCTTGTATTGAATGAGAAGGTAATGGATGGAAGGGAACATGAAGGAACTACTTCTAAATCCTGAGATAAAAAAAACCCGGGCTGCTCCCTTCATGTACCCTAACCCTTATTGATTTCAGTTGCAAAAAAGACAGTAGCAACAAAAAGTATCAGTACTGAGCACAAAAGACAACCCTTTGTGTCACCAAAGCAGTTCCATCCATCCTGTGCCCTGTCACCTTCTTTCTGGATGGGAGTATAGGAAAGGATTTCAGCTGCTCTGGAGGCTGACTTGCAGGAGGAGAAGCAGTTCAGGCCTGACAGGTGAATGGAAATCCACTGGTTGCGTGGCGTAAAGGCAGCTGAGTGAGTCCATTACAGTTGGGGATATGCAGCTTTTCATAACTTTCTCAGTGGTCTGTTTGGCCAGCTCAACTGAAAGTTGTTTCGTTCATAGTGTAGCTTAAGTTTCTTCTCTATAATATACCTTTTCCATGTGGCTGAGAGAGGAGAGCAGAGATAGGATGAATGTAAGGCAATTCTGTTGAAGGATTTTTCCTATCATTACTCCTTACTCTCAGGTTAGTATAGATACAGAATTAAGAATGCAGAGCTCAGTTCAGTCAAAGCCACAGATGAGTCTTGGTCTTTGTGTGGTATAAAATTAGAGACACTGTTTTCTTAACTTGTGTTCTTGATGGTTCTTAAAATGAAAGGACCATGTTCTGAATGGGATGGATTGTCCTATCCATTAGGAGTAAAATATCTCTAAATAGGTAATCCTGTTTATAGAGGACTGGCATCGTTTTCTCAAAGTGTTACAGCTATATAGAAAACTAATTCTGCATACATCCTTAGAGGACCATGACTATAGTAAAACACAGTCTTTACTGGATAGAAATCACTGTAGCTAGTCATCAGCAGTGAAAACTATTTTAAAGCATTCCAGCATTTATCACACTTTTTTTTTTTTTTAGATACCACATTTCAGATTTTTCAGTCTTTGTCAAGTGAGTCACTGTGTCATTTGTTCTGCCCACAGCTTGTGTTGTGTTGATTGCTGGTCAGATGATCTCAGCTTTTACTGTGCACTAGCTCAGGGGAAGATCCTTGGTGAAGGTCTTAAGAACAGGCAGTGTTAGATTTCAACCATCCTTTTCCATAGCAAATAGTTGAATTCCCTTTTAGTTGGGTCTTCCCAACAAATACTGCCCAAGAAGTTGATGTAGCACTGTAAAACTTGTCAATCTCTAAGAAGCAGGGGAAGCTGAAGTTTGTGTGGGTATTTTTTTTTCAGATTTGGTCAAAGAGGTTAAGAGGGTGATTGTGCTTGGTGATGGTTTGTGGATTTTTTTGTTTGTTTTTGGGAAAAACCCAGAAACTTTGACCCCAAAGCTTTATTTTTCTCTTCTTTACAGTACTTAGGGAAAACAGTGTTTCTGAAATACAGTTGCTGGGATCTTTGACTTTACAAATTACTTGTGTGACTTATTCTTCAGGTTACTATCGTACAGAAAGAGATAAGGGGACACATTATGAGCTGTTTTATAAGAAGATGGATGGCATGGAATACAGGCATGTCACCTTGTTCCGACCTTTTGGACCCCTCATGAAAGTGAAGAGTGAAGCGGTCGATATTTCTAGATCAATCATTAACATTATTGTCCCTCTTGCTGGAAGAACTGAGGCATTTGCACAATTTATGCAAAACTTTAGGTAGGTGCATGAGATTATATAGCGAGCTATATAATCTCATATATTTTCAGTATTTTGTTTCCGTTTTGAAATGAATTTCTGTTCTGGTGGATTTGCAGTAGAACTAATGATTCCAACATTGTGTGCAACTGCCTTGGGATGTTTGTAATTGAATCTATTGTATGGAAAAAACATTCCTTCTTAGACGATTTAAGAGATTCTCAAATTGTACCAAAACCCCTTTTAGACCAAATGCCAGGGTCCTTGTCAACCTGGATGCAGATGGTCTTGAACATCAATTTTGTATTTACATCAGCTTTTGAGCTCCTGATTATAAAATAAGGTGTTGGAATGAGACACACGGTATTGGAACCTTCTGATTCAAATGGGAGAGATGGGGAAAGAAGAGGAAAAACATCTTTCCTTGTTTTCTTTGGAAGCTAGTTGAAGTCCGACCAGAATACTTAAATCTGCTAATGCAATAGCTTTTAAGTACCTGAAGCTTCTATTGTGTTCCAGGTAATTGTTAATATCAGCTTATCTTTGTGCTTATAGGGATGTGTGTATTCATCAGGATAAACATATTCACCTCACAGTGGTGTATTTTGGAGAAGATGGGCTATCAGAAGTAAAAAGCATCCTAGATTCTGTTGCTAGGTAAGTGTGTTGATCAAATGTCAGTCAATACAAACAGTATTGATTGGTGTTTAAAATGGTTCTTTAAAAAAAAAGAAACCCAACTATAAAAATAAGTTTATAGCCCATTACAGGTTATAGGAAAAGTAAGCTTTATTTACAGTACACTATGGTTGCCATGTTAGAGCTTAAGTTGCAAAAGTCTCCTGAAGACTACTAAAAATCAAGTTATAGACCAAAAAAGACTAACAGATCTTCACTCTGTTCTCTGCAAGCATAACACTCTGTAGTATCTCTGAAGTAGACACATAACTGCTTGAAGATATTCCCCAGGTGTATTTCCAATCTCCCTTTGCTGCTCCTTCTCTCTTCTGCAGTGAGTACAGGCATGTGTGCTACTGGTATGAAATAGCAAGGAGAAGCAAACTGACTGGGTCAGGGTAGCACTACCACACAGACAGCCTCTTGTCTCATTAGTTTGGTGATGCCAGGACTCTGGCTTTCCATTTGCCATCCTCTCTGATGTAGTGAAGATAGAGATATTGCCTTATTAGTCAGAACTTCTTAGTTTGTGGGGACAAATTTTAGGTGGCCTTTCAGAGAATGCTTTAATTCACATCAGTTGCCAAAAGGGCTTTTTAATCTGTCTGATTAAATGCAAAGTGAAGTAAGACTGAGGTCCATCTTTTTACAGTGTCTAAACTCTGGCACTTAAAATAGACAGCTAAGTGGAACAGTTACATTTTTTTCTCATCCTGATGGTTTAACTGTTTGTTTGGTTTTTTTTTTAATTTCCAGAATGAAATTACTTTGAAATGCTGAAAAAAGTGTAAATGACTATTCTGCCACACACATGCATATATTTTGGTTTTGGCTCTCTTTTTCTTCTAGAGAAACTAACTTCCACAATTACACGCTTGTGTCTCTGACTGAGGAATTTAACCGAGGCCGAGGACTTGACATGGGTGCCAGAGCCTGGGAAAAGGGCGAGGTCCTGATGTTCTTCTGTGATGTTGATGTTTATTTCACAGTCGAGTTCCTTAACAGTTGTCGCTTAAATGCTGAGCCTGGTATGTTCCTTTACAGTTGCTGTAACCAAGTCTTGTTGACTTGTTTGGCTTAGTTACCTGTGTTGAGCTTATAGAAAACTAACTTGAGTGGTGGATATTATTCAATTTCATACACCTAGGAAAATGAAAACTATTCTGCGCACAAAAGACAATAGTATTTAGACTGAGAAATAACTTCTGCCCCAGGGTAGCTTGTTTTAAGAACATGTTGTCTTATTTTGTACAGTAAGTACAATTTTCACATTTTCTTAAGATTTGGCTGTCTGAAAGAAAGCTGGACAGTGTACTTGCTTTAACAATTAGACTGCATGTAAATTTATATAACAAAACTCAGTGTAGCACTTACAGTAGAAGATGATTTTTGTTATACTGAAATCTCAAACAAGTTTGGTTTATGTCTTATCACACTTGTATGGCGAAGACACATCACATGAACAGTTTTCAGTAGAGCTACACAATGTGCTCCTTACAGAGAATGAGCTAATGTTCCACATTTACATCCCAAGCTCTAAATTTTTCTGACCATTTTTCTCAGTCTGTATGAAGCTTGCTTGTTCTACAAGCTTCTGTCAAGAAGGATAAAGCTTTCTTGAGTTAACAAGTGTGCTAGTTAAGACATTCTCCAGTCAAACATGTGTTTGGGTTCTTTTTTTAATGCTTACTCTTATTGCAGATTTGTTGCAGCCAGAAACCATTTTCTCCAAATGTCAGTTTGGAATTCAATACTTCATATAATAAAAGTCAAGAAATTCTGCTATAAGCCAGATATTTGGATCCTCTTTCTTGCTTTTTCTATCATTTCTATCTGTCTCTGCACTTCATGAAACAAGTTGTATAAATAATTGAAAAAACTTTGGAGAGGAGTGTCTTGTGAGCTTTCACAAGGAAGGGAGTTTGAGAGACTGCTTGACAATTCATACTGACAGTTCATCACCTTTGCTTCAAGCGAGATCTGAAAATGCTTCTCATGTTCAGAGTTCATGCTGAAATCAGGGTACTGAGTATTCTCTTGGGCTGTTGTCAATGCCTTTGCAGCACTGGCAGAGCAAGAGATCCTTGAAAAATATTTGTCTGGCTTCTGTAATAGGCACAGAACTGGTGTCACAGCAGGATCAGGATACTCATGATGCCTAATGCTCTTGCAGGACATCCTGGGATGTACACGCTTTTAAATGCTTGTGGAAAGAGGCAGGCTCATAAAACTCTAGCTATGCAAGATGTTACTTGGAGTTGATTATTTTTTAGCATTGCTGCATACTGTTATTGAAGGGATTTTTCACTGTCATCTCATGATACTGTGATACATAATATATTTAGATATGTATAAATAACTGTATATAAATGTATACCTATAGAGTATATATAAGTATGTGTACATATACTTTTTTAATCCTGTGTGCTCTGCCCTGCTGGATGTTATGGGCTACCTAAATGGGAAATCCTAGCAGTTAGACCTTAAATTTGTTTTCACTAGCTGGCTAATAGCTTATATTTTACATAAAGAGAATATTTCTGGTTTCCTCTTGCCTTCAGAAGGTATGCCCACAGTGAGTAACAACTACCTTTTGACTTCCAGGGAAAAAGGTTTTTTATCCTGTGGTATTCAGCCTTTATAATCCTGCTATTGTCTATGCCAACCAAGATATAGCACCCCCTGTGGAGCAACAATTGGTAAGCAGTGTGATTTATTCTGGATAGAATTAGTTGTGCTTTCTATTAAAACAAAGTTAAGTGTAACTAGATAGTCCGTTTGGAATCTCCTATGATCTTTGACAGTGTGTATCTAAACACTATTCTCCAGTATGCGCAGAGCACTTGGACGAAAAGGTTATCAAAATACAAAACTCAGATAAACTTGGAGTTCTACCTAGATTTAAAAAAAAAAAAAAGGGGGTGTGTGTGTTAGTCAAATGAGGTTGCTAGTTCTGATCTATTGCTTAAATCTGGCTTGGGAAGCCAGTATTTTAGGAGGATAGTGGCATAACATGGCAGCAAATTTTGTCTTACTTTCCAGCAAATGGAGAAGTGGTGAAAAGACAAAAAAAATATGAACAGTGCTTGATAAGCTTCCCTCAGTATCGACTCTCTCTGCTAACTACCAAATCGTAGTTGCAGAAAGTGTGCCATGTAACTTGAGGTGGGCTAAGATGTTCAGTCAGTTGCTGGTTTTGTGCTGTGGACAGCTTTATGCTCTTTATCTTTGCCATCCAACATCTGCCAGAACTGTTACACTGCTGATTACATCTTGCTTTTCATATGAGAAACACTTCTTCTAGGGAAGCCGTAGTCAAAATAATAAACAAACCCCACAAACATTCAAGGGAATAGGTTTAAGGATAATTTGGGGTTCAGCAGAAAGAAGGAAGTACTGTGTTTCTGTGTTGCCTGAAGATTGGATGGCCATGGTCAATGCCCAGTCTGACTCTCTTTAAAGAGACTGCTTAAATGACACTGGATTTTGCAGCTGGGACTTCTGAGGTGGGTTTAGAGGCCAGAAAGGAGAGTGCAACACAACCTTACTAAATGAAAAATAACCCTGACCCCCTATGTTGTTTGCAGGGATACTATTGAAAGTAGGAGGGAAGCTTTTGCAAATAGCCCTAGGTAGTCACAGCTGAGAGGGGAGTGAGCTCCTGCCTGACAAATCTGCTGTTTACTTTTTTGAATCAAACAACTTTATGGTTGCTGACTTCAATCACAAAATTTACTTTTCGTGTCATATCATAATGAGAGACAAATGTGGCCTTAGAAACTAAGTAGGAATTGGAGTATCAGGAACAGATAATTTGGCAATAGACTACCAAAAAATTTACTGCTTAGTGTAAGCAAATATATAGAAAGTAGAGGTGGTGTATCAGAAAGGTAAACATGGAAACTGCAGTGAGAGTAAGTATTTGGATTTGGATGGCAAAGAGTGAAGTGAACAGCAGGTAATTAGGAAGCCCACATCTGTGCATGTCCCAGAAGTACTAGAAGTGTTACATGCTGTATCCTGCACTTAGCAAATGATTGGAAGAGCTTAACTTTCTACAAAAACAAGTGCAGTGTATGTCCTTTGATGTATTTCCCATTTCAAAATGATACTGTTTTAAAATTGCAGGTACACAAGAAGGATTCTGGTTTCTGGCGGGATTTTGGCTTTGGGATGACTTGTCAATATCGGACAGACTTTCTTACTGTTGGTAAGATGAAACTGTAAAACCAAAATGTATGTGTTTTTAAAAATTTATTCTATTCTTATCTAATGCCAGGAAAGTAATTAATTTAGTTCTTTTATTATTTTCCCAAGTCCAGCAGTCAAACTTGCTTGACAAGTTTGACCAATGAGATAAATTAGTTTTTCTAGATTTTGATGTCCCATCTGATGAGAGTTTGTTAAAAGTCACAATATTTTTTAGTAACAACACTTCACTCTAGAACTTCTACGAATCTTTCATTTTTATATACTTTGTGACTGTCTGAAGAAAATGAATCAATTTTAAGAAACACGTCCCTCAGGTAAACCACTGACATAGAGAAAAAGCATTAAAATTCTTTCTTTTAAATAACTTTGAGTAGTTGAATATAGTTATTTGAGGCTTTAGAAATATGCTTTGGCACCCTCTTGTGTCATGCTGCTAAAACTGAGAACAGCTTGGCATGCTTAAATTTGGAAGACTTGAAGTTAGTCTGCCAGAAGGTGTAATGATATATGCTGTTTAATGGCTTGAAAGCAGGCTGATTTCTCATAGCAGACATATTTCCATGTATATGGTATATGCTAAATGAAGACTTTGTAATTCTAGAGCTTTGAAATTGTGCATGAGTCTGGGTCGATTTTCATTATGGTCCTGCAAAGGCAAGAGAACTTAAAACGGTGGAACCGAGTTCCTTTCCTTAATCCAGCCTTTTGAATTGTGACCTATGGAGTAATTGCTGGCATTTTTAGAGAGGGCTTTTCATATGGTGCATGACTGCTTCATTTCCCAGCTGCTAAAATCTATTATGACTGCTAAAAATAACCCAAAAGCATAGCTGGTGAGGTTTGCCTAGTTTTCTACAGCTGTTGTATGGGATGTCATGCATAATGTAATTTGGAGACACTGTTCTAAGAGGCTTTCTGAAGCCAGCAGTGCATGATCCTGTGTCCTGGGCAGTTTCCACTGTGAAGGATGTGGTATGCTTGAAAGTCCTCTCTGTCAATTTGGCATGCTTTGGCATGGAGAACTTAGTTAATTGCTCCAGGATTTCTGGTATGTCTTACCAGACTTGGTAATATGTTACACAAGGACTGTTGCTCTTTTTGCCTTACATCTAGCATGTGTGCCAAAATAATGTTTTCTGATATTGTTTTTATAGGGGGTTTTGACTTGGAAGTGAAAGGCTGGGGTGGTGAGGATGTTCACCTTTACAGAAAGTACTTGCACGGTGACCTTATTGTGATCAGGACACCGGTCCCTGGTCTCTTTCACCTCTGGCATGAGAAACATTGTGCTGATGAACTCACTCCAGAGCAGTATCGCATGTGTATCCAGTCCAAAGCCATGAATGAGGCCTCTCACTCGCACCTCGGGATGCTGGTCTTCAGGGAGGAGATCGAGACTCACCTCCGTAAGCAGGCTTACAGGACTAATAGCGAATCAGTAGGTTAAATGTCGCCCCTGTGACATTTGATGACTTCAAATTCACAATGAACCAGCATCATTTTACAGCCTTAATTCAGCTTAGAAATGCAGTGCCTCTCTTTTTCAGTGAAGAAGAGTTTAGAGGGATTTTGGTTCTTGTATTTGTTTTCTGAGTAATTCTTTGACTGATATGTTATTACCTACATATCTTGTAAGTTCAAGCACCTCAAATAAATTGGAAAGCGTATGTAGTTCAAGGAAAGTGTCTTTAGTATAGATTGGAAAAATCAGTGGAATGTACAACTCAACACTTTTCCACATGGTACATTTCAATTCTTATATTTGCATTATTTTAAGAATTAAATTAAGTAATCTTTTGTGTTGTCTTGAGTATTTTTGGTCTGTTTGGCTCACTGCACTGTGACTTTAGAAGTACTTACACTCCATTGTAGAAACAAGAGAAAGGTGTGAAAAAGAATGTCACTGGGGAAGGTATACGGGACATGCTGACTGGTACACCAACTGTTCAGGTTACTGATTTCACAGCAAAGACTTGGTGCCACATTTGCTTCATTCTTGCTTGCCACATTCACATGGTTGAATACAGAGTAATTTGTGTGAAAGGGGAGAATGAAAATCTAAGTGAAATTTTAGAGCATATAAATGTAATTTCACACTGTGAAAGAGACACCACCTTCTTATCTTGGTGATGGATCAGACAAGTTGGGAATGTTCCAGTTGGGCGTTTCTGGGTCTGGTCTTTTCCCACAGTAGATATCAGATCACAGAATCCCTTCTATAAACTAAACTGTGTTATTAAACTCATTTGTTTAAAAATTTTTAGCCACACTCTTCCGTATTAAAAGCCCCTGCCCATACATCTCATCCTTTAAGTTGAGGAACCATCTTTTCATTCCCATAAAAATTTATTAGAGGCCTGTTTGCTATTATGCCAATATTGTCCTTTTGCTTTTTCTTTCTGGCATTTTTCTGACATGTTTTTGGAAGGCAGTCAGATACTCTTAGCTGTTTCAGTGACTGAAAAAGCAAGTGCTCTTACAGTCTTTCTTCATACAATGCTTTCCATTCCACTGATTATCCTGGTAGCCTTATTCTTCACTTTTTCAGTTTGAGGGGGTTTCAGGTTTGTTTGTGGGTTGGTGGTTTGTTTGGTTTTTTTTTTAATCTGTTTTTTTGTTTTGTGTGTGTAGTTTTTTTGAGCATGCATAAGCAGAATTATCCTGTGGTCTCATTAGTGCCTTGTACAATGGCACTACTACTTTACTACTTCCCTTTTGGGTATTTTGGGATGCATAAACAGTTTAAATGAAGGCAAGTCATTTTTCTCCATGTTGTCTTATATGCTACCATATGGCATGCCTCATTTTTAATAATTTCTTTATAGAATGAATGCTGAGAATGCTAATTCAGTGGTTAAACCATTTGCATGGTCTCCACTGAATTTAGAAATTGGTTGAAAACCCTTCTCAAACCAGGTAATTAAGATCTGATTATGAATTCAGTTTGCTTCAAGAATTCTGAAGGCAACTAAAGATTTAAATGCTTGATTTCTGAATAGCAGATATGCTGGGCAATTAGTTCTGGGCACCGATCCTTTTTATATGTACATAAAATTTGCCTTTATGTAACTTATTGTGGAGAAGTGTACTGTATTGTACTTAGAATGAAGAGAATGCATTGCAAGACTTCTTGCAGTTGATATTCTCAATATAATAAACGGAATTTCTGCATTTTATAAATTGTTTTAAGCTGTTTCTTTGAAATAAGTTTTTACAAGTTAGATGACATGCCAGATGCAAGTAATAGTATTCGCAGTGAGAAGTTCACCCAGCTCATTTTTGCATCTCAAGTGAGTATCTACCCTGACAAGATATGAAAGTGCAGATGTAGTTCCTCAGCTAACATACTAGATGTCATTGAACTTTAAGATATCTTGGTGGTTCCTAACAAAAATGGTAAGGTACCAGCAAGGAAAAGATTAAATATGTAGGTTTGATGATTTGGGGTACCATATAAGTGGGACCTTCTGCTGAGGCTCCAACCCTTTAGACTTCAGCTGCTACTGCTGTCCTGGCTCTGCTGCACAAGAATAAGCATCCAAAATGCCTCTCACTGACACCACCGCTGCTTGGCATGACCCAGAATGGATACTGTGGTAATGCAGATGTGTTAAGCACTGCTGCAGGTCAGTCAGTCACTACCCCAGAAGGATCTAGTTGTCCTAGTTTCCATGGTTTGGAAACAGCAGACTGCTGACAGCCAGATCTCTTACCTTATGCTGTTTTCCACTGGGTGGTTATGCTTATCAGTAATGGCAAGGAAGGAGAACAGTATAAACTGTTTGCATCTGTGTGATGAAAAACAGTCTATGGTGTCAATGCTGGAAGGCAGTCAAGCAAGTATGAAGCTGAATGTAGTCAACAGGAACCCCTTTTGAAAACTTTTTTTTCCATTCATCATCCCAAATGTGAAAGTGAATGCATTGGATTTAAAGGGAAGTCAGAACTCTTAGAAATAGTTAATGTCATGGCTGGTTATTGGTAGAAGTAGTCAGAATGACTGATTCTTTGAGGACTCCTGAACTTTCAGGTGTCCCTGGCAGGCCTGATCTTTCTCGTGTTAGTTCATCTCTCTTCAGTAATTGCCTGTGTAAGCATGTTGCTATGGCACAGAGCAGCTGGGCAGCTCGTTAGGAGCCTAGGCTACCATCACCTATAGCATTCATTAAAAAAGCCACAGATACTGGTATGGGCCATGTGCTGTGTTAAGTCAATGCAAGGTACTTGCAGCCCGGTGCTAGGAACAAGAGTAATTTTAAGGATGTAGTCTCCTTGGATGCATTTTGCTGCTGCATGGTACTGGATTTGGTACACACGCCTCACTGTGTGCATGTGTGGGGAAGGTGGTTGTACTACTAATGATCTGTAGAACACTTACAGCAGGAAAACAGTTGGCTCTAATAGTACTTTACGGGTTGTGGGGTAGCTTATTACCAACTTTGACACTGGAAATTAAATCAGTTACTTAAAAGCTCTTATGATTTAAAATTTGCACTTCTAGAGAATTATTACTAATCATGCACAGTTCATGTTCCCTAATGACTACTTACTCAATTGTCTCTATTATAGAATTAAATTAAAAATTATAAATAACCACCTTAAACTTAGAGCTTTTAATTCTTAAAATAGGTTTTATAATTCTCAAGTATTTTAACTTTTGCTTTTGGGCTATGCTACAGGCTTTGACTATTTAGTAAAAAAAAAAGTTATCTAAAATTCTTACATTGGGTGCTGATTGTCCCTCAATGCGTTAGTAGGCATTTTTTCAAAATAAGATGAATGTTCTCCTGTAAGAAAGACCCTCACTGAACTGAGTTAACCAATGTATATTACATGGATGGATGATTTTGTCTATTTTTACTGAGATTCTGCAGAAGACGACAGGATGCTTTATATGTCCCTTTTAACCACAAAATAGAGAAAAGGTTGAGACCTATGAATTGCAGAGAGAATTATTCTGTTCAGTGTAATACTCCAGAAGTTATTCTGATTTATACGGAAACTTCGTAAGATCACTATGTGGCCACTGCTTTCCTGGTCTTGATCTGCTTTTCATCATTCTTTGGGAGTTTTTCCAGTAAAAAAGTCCTCTGGAAGTGCTTTGCTTTTTCTTGCTCCTCCTCTGTAGTCTTGGGGAAAGGCATGGATAGAGCCCATTTCAGGACTCAGCTTTTTCAGTTGTTATCAGTTACTGCTGTATTACCCCAAGATAAAGTATATTCTGATCAAGTGTCTTCTCTATGTGGCTGTGGATGACAGTGACACTTTAATTACGCTCCTGAGCAGCTAACACAAAACTGAGTCACTACCAGTATTGGTCAGAAAAATATATGAATCTGGAGAGTAGTTTGTTTTCCCAAAGTCCTTAGCATACTTAAAAGAAATGATGTAAAAAGAAATATCCTGAAAACTTGTATGGCTCTTCACCTTTTTAAATCTCACATCATGTTTCTTGTACTATGTTCCATCCTTCTCTAGTGCTACCTTCCTTATTAACCCAGTCTATTTTTTCTTTGGTATGTCTCCTCTCTTACATCTTCCAACTCAGTGCCTTCAAGCTTTCAGCCTTTTATAAGCTCTTGTCCCGCCTTGTTGGTGATGTAGGAGCTGTCAGGGGTTCCAGCTGACTGAGCAGCAGAGGGCCTGGGCGGTGGTGCCTGGCAAGGGAAAGGCAGCGGCTGGCCAGACTCTGCGAGCAGGCTGGGAGCTCCCAGGCGGCGTAGGAACGGCTCTCTGCCATTTACCAGCCCTGAGAACTGGCTTTAAACCACAAAGGTCTCCATTTATGAGCTCTGTACAAATTAGGCTTTTTTCTTACTTCTGTCTTTGTCGTAATATTTCATGCTGAAATACAGGAAACTCTTACAGCAGCATGAAGTTCATGGCAAAGAGCGCTAATTTAAGACCATTACTGACACCAGTGTTTGACTGCACACCATTGCTTCTGCTCTAATGGAACTAGAATGGGAATAGTAGGATATGCCTTCATTATAAAGTGAGTTTACAATGATTTCAGTTACCTGAGTGTGTTGAACTTTCGATTGTTTTTTGGCACAGCCACGTTGTGATACGAGCACATGTCTTCGTATATAGCTGTATTGCTGTTTTCTGATTACTGCTGCGTGCTATGGTACGGGGTAGGTTTGCTCTTTCCCAGTAAAATGTGTGACTCTTCCTAACCTCATCCAAGAAAGGGAGGAAATTAGTCATGTTTCAAATATGAAAATCTCTCGCTTGAATAATAAAATCTCTTCTGTGTGTTGCTTTAGGCATAGATCTGGCTAAATGGCTGGAAAATGTTAGCTAAGTGTCTAGTCTCAGGCTTGTAAATGCTGGCGGGGCACTGCAGAGATAACGTTACGACCGTGTGGATCTGCAGCCGTGTGTGCGCCTTGGGCATGGCCTGTGCAGAGCACAGCTGCTGCCTCAGATGGGAGCCGGGGCGGCGGGAGGCTGCAGACGTGGCATCGCTGCCCTCACTGCTGGTGAGAAGCTCCCTGTGGCTAGAGCTGCTGGCGTCCAGCCTTCTTGGGAGTCTTGGTCGGGATTTGTGGTCTATTGTAGCCACAAACATGGAATTGAGTTAATTGAGGGGGAAGTTAAGCCTCAGGGGTGTCTCTGTCCACAGAACAAGTTCAGAAACTTAGTTATTAATGCTTCAGTGTTGATACTGAGTTCAGATTATTGCCGGTCACCTCCAGCCTGAGACAGTGCAAACAGAGAACCCATCAGCTTGATGGACCAAGGCCCTTTGGTTGGAGCCACAGGCAATTTCTGGAGAAAGGAAGAGCATCAGGGTTTTGAGTGGTGCACTCAGGTCATTGTCAGTTAGCTCTGACTTGCTCTGCTTCAGGGTGTCAGAAATGGGTGCTTGCCACCCATGGACTATCACCAGCCTAGCAGAGGAGATCTGCTCTTGGCTTTCCCAAGACATGCTCTGCCTGCAGAGAGAGAATAAACCCCACACTATTCAGTTTGGGGCTGCCTGCCGCTGGGGCATTGCAAAGATAAATGAAAATATTGTGCTTTGGAGTCAGATTCAACTGTCTGCCCAGGGTCAGAGCTCAGATTACATGGCCGGGTGTTGGGCCATGTCCTTGTGTTTTGACAGATGCTGTTTGTATAATGCACCATTTCCCTTTTTTAAGATGTGGTCCAACTGTAAAATGCCAGCTGTGTTTTCCTGGTGGAGTCACTGCATTTTAGTGTTAAAGCAGTAAATACAGTAACATTTGTTTAAATAGGTACATGCTTCACTGAATTGAGAGTTTTTTGGTTTGTTTGTGGTTTTTTTTAGCTGTTGTATGCTAGCTGCATTAATTGTAACCTTTTCCAAGGAACTTGCAATCTGGGGAGGCAAAGGGGAAGTGTTCTTTATTAAGGGAAGTCAAAACAAGATTAGCTCAGGGCACACTTTTATGTTAGACCCGTTAGAAGAATGAATTCAGGTTGTGCTTTTGAATTTGCAGACTTGAATTTGTTTGAAAATATGTCATGCAGTGGGACTAGTAGATACTGGTTTGGAGAATCAGAAAATACAGATGAAAAAGTGGGAAAAGTACAGGGAAATACTCAGTCCTGGGTCTACTGCATCCAGAAGAAAATACTTTGTGACTTTTTTTTATTTCATAAAAGCCCATGAACCTTTGGGCTTTGAGATACACACACCTATGAAACTCAAAACTTCTTTGTAAACTGTATTTAAAACTGGAGAGTTGCATAAAGGAAAAAAGAGAAGTGGTGGTTAAGCCCTAACTGCTTGTATCTGAATTCAGAAATACATTTGTAATTGCAATTTTTAGTACATACTGGAATATAAACTCCAGAATAAAATGAAACAGATTTTTGCGTTGTCAGATCAGTGAATCAAAGGAAAAGAACTTCAAATAGCCTTTCAAATGATGATTCACCATAAATGTAGTAACTCATTGTCTACTGCATGGATCTAATTATAAAATCTTTCTGTACAGCCAAGGCAGGCTTAGCTTTCATTTGCCTGATGTGTCCTTGCTGTGTGTGACCCCCAGCTATATCTTGACCCATGTCCTCTCATTTTCAACTCCCAACTTCTGTAAAAACCCTTCGCTGATGCAGGTTAACTGAAAGGCTTTATGATTTTCTTCCATAAGTAGAATGCTTTGCAGTATGTATGGAATTATTTGTAAATGAGGATGTTAACCCATTCCTGCCATTTGCAATGCCAGTGGCTTACCAAACTCTTTTCAAAACAATCTTGTGTTTATGACTGTGGTGCTGTCTGATCTTTTTTTTTTTTTTTTTTTTTTTGCAATTGCTTTGGTATTTGCATGTCCATGGGGGGCACACATGTTTTTTGCTAGCACCTGTGTTCTCAGAGTGCTGCTAAAAATGCTCTTAAAAAAAAAAAAAAAGAAGATAAAATCTCTGAAGTAAAACAAAATTTCACGTAGAGGCTATAAAGCACTGTTCAAAGATAGTGTATGGCCTAGCTGTCTCTTGCTGAAGTCAATGGAAAGCATGCCCAGGCAGAAGAGTCACAGTTGTGAAACAAACGGGGGAGTTTCTCCTGTGAGAAGTAGCGGCGTGTGTTTGCACAGCATAATGAATGTGGAGGAGACAAGAGGTTCATGAAGCTGTATAGAGCTACAGAAGGGCCACAGTGGTGTCTTTGGGCCTGGGAGAGCCAGAGCTCTTGCACGGATTTCCTGGCTTCTTTCTGACTTTATTACAAGCCATGAGGAAAATTATCATATTGAAGGGATAGTTTGAAGGAAAAGAAAAACCTTTGAGACTGCTTAGTGCTCAGGTACACTCTGAAAGGGAGTTTAGGGACAGATCAAAGTTTAGGCTACTCTCAGCCCACGAGTTGCATGTTTTCCTGGGCTGACCAGTTATTGGGGAGCCGCTGGGATGGTGTTCTGACCTGCAAATGCAATCCACATAGAGTAGTTGTTGGGATTTTTTTGTATTGGTTTGCTTTTAAAATAGTCTAAGTGACTTTTTAGCTGCTGGGTTCTTGTGTTTGGGATACTTGGATACCATGAAATTTCTGAGAAGGTGTATAGGAAAAAAAATTGGATTCATGGATTTATTTGTTACTTGCTTGGATTTCATGTTCTTGAAGATTCTTGAAGGAGTGATTTTGTTTTTAATTCAGACAAGTTCTTTAGAGCTGAGCTATAATATCCATAGACATGAATAGTTCAACATTTCATTAAATTCTGCTAGTGCTGTGAGTGTTAAAGGCTTCAGTCAAATGCATCATTTACAGCTGTGCTTGCTGAATCCCTGAGTGTTCTGTTGATGCAATTGATGATGTGTTGCACTTCATTTCTCTATTTTAATAGATATTTGGGGAGGTGGAGTGTTGTTAGTAATATCTTCTTTGAATTTAATGTAATGTTGTTTAAATTTTAAAAGGAAACTTTCAATGCTGACACTGATGGATTGAAAGAGTCTTTGAACTTACTACCTCCCAGGATCAGAATAGGTCTTAGTGTGCTCATGTGACAGTGATTAAAAAGATGTTAAATACTTTTCTGTCAGTGTAATGTGATTATGCTGGATCTTATTGGACTTCTGCTTCCAAACAGGATTATATTAAGATACCTGCTTAATCTGAAGAAGCTAGATTAGAAATATTAGAAGTAATTTTCCACTAAATTTTAAGTTTCTTCTTTCCTGCCCCAGATCAGGCAAGAATGTTTGAAAATGGTGCTTTGGTTTGCCTTCACTTTCAGTTTTCATTCAATCCTGGGAAATGAGTCTTCACATGTGGCATTGAGTTAGAGTTGTTAGGAGGAATCTTCTGCATGGCAACAGCCCTGGAGTTTGGGGTTTTTGTTTGTGGTTTGGGGAGGCATTTGTTTGTTTTTCTTCTGGTCAGTGTTACTAATAGTTCCAAGTAACTATATACTGGGTTTGCAAAGCACTGTTTCTTACAGAACTTTTTATATAGAAGTGCTTTTATTATTAGTTGTTAGAAGCTTAACTATTCTTAATTTTGTAATTAAGAATTATGAAGAAATATTCATAAGGTATGCACCCCAGTAGATCAGAAACTATATTTTTTTGGCTTAGTATTTTTAAATTAATGTTGCATTTCCTGGTGGTTTGAATTTCTTGCTCGGAGAGAAGGCAAAATATCTGTCTTGAGACAGTATCAGCACTGTGTGCATGACATAGAACTTAACTGCTTCTTAATATTTCATGATGAAAATAAAATAATATCCCAAAGTAATTTTGCAGCGATCAACTGCATCTGTTTTTTGTGCAAGAGCTGAATGTGGTATCAAGAAGCCACAAAAATGCTGATGTTAGAAATTGCTTACAACGTTGGAAATATTAGACACATTTGAATTTTTTACTGTTATGAATAATGTTGTGGGAATGGTTACAGTTTACGTTGTACTTCCTGAATGTCATTCCTCTCTCTTGCAAAGCCCAAGGATCACCCTGGGTTGCAGTGAAGGAAGGGAAACCTCTACAGTGTCAGGGAACTGCTGAAGGAGGCCCATGGAGATGTGCTGAAACCTCAAAGCGTACCCAGTTACCTCTGTCCTTCTAGGGACAAGCGTGGAAAGAATAATTTGAAAACAACTATTGCTAATACTCGCATGCTTACCAGTCTGGAAACTTCCTTGATAGCATGCACTAACGTTTTAGGATGAAGTCTTTCTGCAACTTGATTTTTTTGAAAATTTTTTTTGTTTTTTAAATGTTAAAGTATCTCTGTCCACACAGCCCTATTTAATGTCTGCAGAGACCCATAAGACAAAACTGTGCTTCCATATGCAGTCTGCAGGCTTTTATGGGAAGCTGGGGTTGCTCTGATAAAATTATATATGTTGCAGACTGAAGAGGAAAGATGTGTCTGCATGTCCACAGCAGAATTATTAATTTCTCTCCAAAAGATGTACTAATATCAGTTGTCAGCTGAATTTTGCTACATGAGTTACTGGGTAAAAGAAAGCTGTTTCTTGGCAACTATTAACTTAAAAAATCAAGTTGCTGCTACCATAAATAAAGATATCTTACTGGCATTGAGTTACTGCTTGTCATACTGAGCTGTGCTCTAATGGCAGTAGTCTGGAAAGTGTCTGGAAAGCAATTTTATTTACTTTTATGCCTGTGTAAATAGTTAATTTATTGTAATGACTGGATGGGACATATTAATTATGAGTCTGAACTGGCCATCAGGAAGACTTGTCTGCTTGATCCTCTTAATGCTGGTAAACATCATTGTATTTTCTAATGAGCTGCGATGACTGGAAGTAGTACTGTTCTACTCTGGGAGCCTGTTGAGGATGTCTGGTTACCAAAATAATTTTCTGAGTTTTCAACAGGTTAAAAATGCTTACAGGACTTCTAGAGCTCCTGCACTTGCAAGATCTAACTTTTCTTTTTAAGGCTTATATCCCTGAGGAAGGAGGTAGTATGGGAATCACTGGGGCAGAGCATCAGGAAGCTGGATTGTCCTTGTAGTTCTGTGCTTGTCTAGTCCCTGTGTGACCCTGGAAAAGTGGCGTTGCTTCTGTAAATTAGGACATGAAAAAGGGTAGTTGGTTGCAACCAAAGGTCCTGGAGTATTGAAATGTCAACACAATCTTGCTACAGGAAACTGCAGTGTGCTGCAGCCCTCAAACGTTTCTGTGCTTTCCTGTTAAAAGGGTAAGTATGTGGAAGGAAAAAAAATTAAACTCTTGGGTCACATGTAATGTTTTTACACAGTGGAACTGTTAATCACTTTCACATCGAGAATAAAAATATTTCATAGCAGACACTGTATCAAATCCATAAAATGCTATCATAGAAAGCACGTTAGAAGTGGCAGCATATTGTAGGCTTAGTGTTGCTTTTGTCTTTGGTGGAAGATACTTATAATGTATCTTTCTAAGTCAGAAAGAAGAAAGAAACCAGTTGGTTCATTGTAACTCTATTGCCTTCCAGGCATGGTTCACCTCAGTCAGCTGATAGTTTGTGGCTTGATCAGTTTGCAAGTAAAAAATAACTATGGAAAAAGTGAAACCTGGTTGAGGCAAGTTGGTTTTGTTTATTTATGCAAGCACATCCAGTCAAACACAGAATATCCTGCTTTATGATACAGCTTTATATTTAGCATTTCAGCTCAGAATAGCAAAACACGGTATTTAAGGAATGTATCAAACTGAGGGAGGAAAAATAGAAAGGAACCAATGTGGGATACTGCATTGATTTCAAGTATATACTATGACTGATTGACCAGTGAAGTGCACATTCATGTGAAAGCTTTTTTTATACATTTACAGAAAGTGTTCTAAAATTGCATTTCAAATATATATTTTTTTTTTTTTAGATTTTAAGCATCCCTTTTAAATTTCAATTACATAAACAAAGCTGATATACAGTCGCTCTTATAGTGTCTAACAATGTTACTAACTAAAACATCTCTGAAAGTGCAAAACACTGTAATAATACAGTATAAATATTCTTACTCTAATCCAGGGCTGAAGGTCAGTACTTCAGCACAGGAAAAATAGCAGCAGATCATAAGAATTATCCCTTCCCCTTTTCTGGGCTGTTCTTATTAACAGTTACTATTCTACCTCCTTCTTCATGGCATAACTTGTGGGGTTTTTCTTCTCTTTGATGTCAATGCTATGGGAATAGAAAATGTTGATTTCTCTCTCTTCCTTACTCCAATTTACTCTTCTAATTTTAAGTCCTTGTCAAGGGGGGAGTGGAACAGGGAGAGAGGGAAGGCTTTTTAATTTTTCACCGTACTACAGGGCCAATACAGCAAATAATTTCTATGAAGTGATTGCAGATGCTTCAGGAAACAGTGGCACTGCTCTTGGTTGTAGACACCCAGCAAGAAGAGTCTACTGGACTAGAATAAACCCGACCCTCAGTCCAGCAAGTCCTGCCCCTTTTTCAACAGAAGGCAGAATAAGATAAAACCAATCTATGTAAGAGTTGATCATTTTTAAAGACACTTGTGCAGGGGTCCTCTGCATGGCTCTGGGAGGGAGGCTGTAAACTCTGAGGGCCTTGTTTAAAAAAAAAAAAGTGTCTAATTGTCTGTCTCAAATCATTACCTTTGCGATATCCAGCCCTCAAGCCTTAAGAGAACAATTACTGGAAAGGACAGTATATATTAATGGATAATAATGTATTCATTAGACAAAATTTTATTTTGAGCCTATTTTTTTCTCTCATTTCAGTGAGAAAGCAAGTCCTTTTTTTTCCTGAAAATGAATACCTTGAATCTTTAGATTCAGGTGCTCATTTGGATAAGTGTAAACTCAAGACTACACAGAGAAATTAGAAATGGTAAGCATCAGTGAGTTAACAGATCACCTCTAATTCTGGTCCTGACCTGGGTTCTAAGGTTTGACCAATTTCTTATGGTGTTTTCCCTTAATTTAAATGGGTTCTGGCCCAGATACTTAATCATGGTTTGCAAAATACTAGAAAGACTAGCAATTTTCAAAGGAACTGAGGGAATTAAATGACCAGTTCAGTGGTGATCAACTCTTCTCAAGCTTCTTTGGGAATTTTAGCCTTAACTTCAAATTGGACATCAGAGTTTACTTCCCTCTCCCTAGCTCATGTATGATTTTTATTTTCCAAAACTGTTTTCAAATAAAAAATATTGAGCCTGTTTTGCAGAGATTATCTAGGTTAGACATCCTTCTCTTAAACAAAAAAAATCCCTGATTTTTAAAAGGGAAAACACAAACGATTCTGACAGCCCAAATTTAAAGGATAGTTCCCAGAAGTATTAAAACTTAGACATGTGTGCATCTTCACACATGCACGCACACATACTCACACACAAACACACATCCCCTAGCAGTTACCCCATCTTATCTGTTTAAATCATCTAACAAAAATATGTTCGCTGCACCATCAGTGTTACAGGCAGATATACTCTACTTCATGTGCCATATTCTCCATTTTATTTAAAAAGTACATTGTAGCTGGTTTCAAGACATCCATATTTTTATTTTCTCTACTTCCACTCCAGCATAATAGAAGGTACACTAAACGATATCAGTACCTTGTAAGGCACTATTTTCTGATGTAGGAGAGGAACATGCTTACTCCAGATGTTTAAGGCCTTGACTCTACAAACACTTACTAACACATATGAATGGTATCGCTGATTTGAAGGAGACCCTTCACTTCAAAGCTAGAGAGACAGGTTGAGTGTTCTGTAGGATACTGGTCCAATGGAGTATTTAATCTGAACACTGGCTTTAGCTGGGATGTGTGTTTTAATTTTTATTTATTTTGGTGGAAGTAATAAAAAATAAAAATTTGGATGCTGATAGAATAAAGATCTCCCAGGGATACCATCTCCCATGTTACATTTCATCTCTGAGAACAGGGCCCTGCCCTTATATTTAAAATAAAAAACCAAAACCCTCCACTTAAGTGCCTTAAGGTTGACATGTGAAATATTTGCCATGTTTTATTTCATAAAAGTTACTGTATTTACAAAACAGACCTCAGCCAGTGAGGTCTTTCTTAGCTCAGTCCAAGTCTTTCGAGTTGTAAAAACACATTTGATCCATGTGCTTCAAAGTCTGGAGATCAGATCCAAAAATCTCAGGCTCTATTAAGCAGAGTGGTCCTAGAAGAAGAGGTAATAAAAAATAAAATTATCTTTTCTATCACGACAAAAAGTTTTACAGTTTTAGTAAAGCTTGGCAATAGGTCTATCTTGCATCATTAGCTGGAAGCCTTTCTTCAAGGGGTAGGTTTTCAACTGCTATAAACTGAAATACATCTGTGAATTCCAATAAAGATGCTGACTTGAATTTAAATGAAAATTTAACTTTTGTAATGTTACTTCGGGCCCTGAAGATGTGCTCAGGCAAATAACATACGTTCCTCTGTCATCCTACATTACTGCTTGCAGTACAGCATCAGATTTAACGCAAGGCACATTGTACGGGTGTCATAAGTGAAAAGTTTATGCAGACTTTCTAAGCAACATTGGGATCACTGGGAAACAGTGTCTTGTCTAGGACAATACAGTCGTAAAGTAGCTCAACTGCAGCTCAGAACATACGGGCTTCTTCATTCTTTAGCTGGTACAGATATGTCAAATCTACATGTTAAACATGATTTACAAAGGTCTAAATCTCTCTTCCTGCCTTGGCCCTCAGTATTAGAAGAAATCTCATCTAAATTAACTGATCTCATCATGTATATGGAAGAGGTGCTTCCCTCTCTGAGGGAGGAGGAGTCATTGAGAATTTCTCCCTTAAGAGTAGGCTGAAAATCAGAGTATTCATATAAAATTTCCTCCTTTTATAAGTTTTGTAAGTGCAGAGGTATAATAAATGATAGCACCTTCTTAGTTTCTCTATGTATTTGTTCCCCAGAGAAAATCACATCTGAAAACTGCTACAAATGTAAATTCTTTTAATGTTTTGATAGCCTAGGAAAAGCATATTTTCTTTCATAGTCCCAGCAGTTATCTTGCAGCCTGAACTGGTCTGGCTGGAAAAGCTGTATGAAAATTCAAGCCCCACTGAATTTTTCATATTTAAATTTTGAAGAAAAAATAATTTATATTTGGACTAAAATGGTCTTAAGCTGGATATGCAAATAGGAGGGAGGAAGCTAATGATCACATGTCTGCAAAAAGACTCCTGTTCTGAGAAAGCTTCATACCTGAGGCTTTTCCAGCTGTCTTTTTCCATGTGGTTTTCTGGACCTTCACTTTCAAAGGATGCAATGAACAGAGCTAGTAAATAAAATAACAATCAGATACATGGGTTCTTAAACTGGAAAAAAAAATTAAAGTTACAATATAGCATGTGTAACTTAGCAGACTTCATAAGAAGTTTATTCTCATTAGAAGCCAATATAGAAGTGATAATACATACTTATCCAATATTTTTTAGCATGTTAATTTTTTTGTCTGCATTTCAACAAGTAGGAAGTCATTGTAGGAAATACTATGTTCAGTAAAGGATCTTACCTTCTTCACTATAAATGGGTGCTGTGAGTAGATAGCTCTGGATCTTCTTATCTTTTTCAAAAGGGCACTCAACCTGCTTCCATGTCAGGAAATCATTAATCTGTCTTGAAATTTCCCAGAATTTCTGCATGAGATAATTAATTTAATATCATTAAAATAACATTTGGGTTTTTTCAAATATTGTTGTTTTGTTTCAATTTTAGAGCCTCTCAGTCTTGTTCTTATTCATGCTACCTATTATCCCTTACTCAATCTTCTTGTTATCCTTTCTTCTTCTCTTCATCTCCCCCTCTTGCTCCTAGTTCCTCGTCTGTTGTAAGCCTCACAAGTTTAGAATAGTGTATTCCTGCTAACTGCCTGGTCTTTTGCATTCAATTCTTTTCATCAGCAGCCTTTTCTTCATACGTAATAAAGTGCTATTGGCCTGTTTTCTGCATCATATCTCTGAATTAGCTTGATCAGTAAATGGTTTTACTTAGTTTTTTACTTTTCTAACCTTCAACTTAAATTAAATGATTTTTTCCTAAAGCACTTCTTAACTTTAAAAAAATAATCAAAATAACATATAGAAACTATAGATATCCTTTCTAGGATCTTAAGAAATGCATAATTACTTAGGGCTTGTCTTGAATATTCTGTGTGCCCACCCCCATCCCGTATCCAGCCTTAATGGCAAAACAGCTTCAAAAGTACTTTTGTGGTCTTTTGGACACGTATGTTTATTAGTCAGGGAGAGAGAATCCAGAACCTGTAGAAGCTCCCTTGAAGATCTGCTAAATAATGTTTGCTGGTTGTGTGTAGCATTTATAGCTAGCTAATCTGATGAGGTTAAATTGGCTAATGTTGATGATTTAGGGTGAAGTTACCTATTACAATTTGATCAGATATTATGGCTTGCTACCACAGAAAAGCTTATTTTCCATTCCTTACTGCCTTCTGCTTCCTCTAATCCCTTTTGAACAAAAGCGCTGAGGAGTGGCAAACTTTTGTCTTGCCATTGTACATGGTATACTAAGATTCTTACACTTCTTGATTTCATGTTCTTTCTTTTATCCTGAATGTTGCACAAATACAACATTCCTTGAAGAAATTTCCCTTTCCAATTATCTAATGTTAGACTATTTATTAATTATTTAAGAGAGTTTTAATGCTGAGACTTTGGCTTCTGAAATTCTCATTTTCTTCTCAATCTTTTCATGCATCAGTTTTGTTAACAAATGTTATTCCAATCAGTTCTGCTTATGTAAATTTTATGTTTTGCAGTTCATCTGTCCCATTTCATATAAAAATAACAAAATATAATCTCTCAGTACATTTTAAAACTAATCTTTTAACTGAAGGCAATTACATTCCAGCAGTTTTATGGATTTGCTTCTGTAGATGCAATTGTGGATTTGCTGGATACATAATGTAAAAATGGCAACTGCAAGTGTTAGCTTTCACAAAGATTTGGTGAGATCATTTTCCCTAGATAATGATATTGCTTTATGTCTAGATCACAGCAATGCTGAAGGAATTGGTAATATAATGAGCTAGAAGTTCAAAATTGGCAATGTACAATGTTTAACTAGCATTACCATTTCTGTAATAGCAAAGTCCTACCTTGAAGTTTATCTGACCATTGGGCAAGCGGTTCGTGTGTATTTTGTGAAGGAAGTAGATATCTTTAATAAACAGGTTGAAAACTGGGATGACTATTTTCTCTCGATTGCTGTTGGCAGTCTGAGATCGCTGTGCTGCTCCTTGCAGGGCTGTGCGGTAATTACAAAAGTTGCTGGATGGATCCATGTGATGCTGTTTTTATGGGGGGCGAAAAGGCAGTCAAGTAATATAACTTTCCTAAAAATAAAAAGCTTTTATCTAACCATCAGAAAGTTCATTCTTTATGAATTTGTTGGGCCCCTTTTTAAGCTTTCAAGATAGAGTACCTTATACTGATCAGGTCTTGGTTCAGGTTTTTCTAACTTCTATCTTGTTTAAAAGGAGGATTCTGTACTGGCTTTACATCTATGCTTTGCTTCAATGGTTAATGGAAGACTGAAAGCAAATGGTAAATGACTGTCAGAAAACTCTAAAATTGTAACTTACTCTCACCAATCTTTCTGATGATGATTTCAGTTAAGTTTTGTTTTCATTTAGATCTCCACTAGATGGAGTACTCTAATTAGTTTTAGGGGTAGCAAAATAGCATTGTATGAAAACTACCTTAATGCTAAATTGGAAAAAAATGGTAGGAAGAAATAGCCTCAAGAAAACATGCATCCACTTCTCTTTGCATGTAAGCAGGGAGTTTGAAATTCAGGAAATTATCTCCCTAATGCTTGTATGCTAGTGACCAATGAGAGAAGTGAATCTGTGATCCCTGACTTCGTAATTCCGCAGCAGAGGTTTGGATAAAACTATTTGGCGGATTTCTGTATGAAGTCTAAACTTTATACATACCTCTAAAACATCAAATTTGGCTGTTTTGACCTTGGACCAAGTTTTCTTTAGCCGCGCTACAGGACTCAAGTTCATGCCAGCTGAATGGAGAGAGACGAGACAAAGAAACAAACAATAGAGTTGAAAAAATATAGGGCTAACATAACTCTTTGTTTATGTATCAGCACCACACATTCTGAAAGGCATTTTTCATCTTAACAAACAGAAGGTGTAGCTAATGCTTTCCCACCCACCCATTAATCTGTCCCTGCAGAAGTGTGCATGCTGACATGGTCAGCCAATTTACAGCCAGTATGAACATATCTTGCCAGTCAGGTTGTAAAATGGAGTGCCTTTTGTCATCTGTGTTAAGGATACTCACAGATAATAGCCATCATTGAGTTGAAGTTTCCAATATTGAAGCACTCTCTTGCCACATCAATGAAAAATTCTACCATTCTTGTGCGCTGCTTTTTCTTTACAACCTGACAAAAAACAAGGTCTGTTAAGAGGGAAGTGGTGGCCTGAATTTTGGATGGGATGTTCAGTCAAAGGCATTTTAACAGGTTGATTGAATAGACGTTTCAAGACTTTATCCAGCTAAATCTTATGATGATATAGGCCTGGGGGTATTTTGCTAATATTAATTTTTAATAAAATAGCAGAAGTATTTGGCACTTATATCAATTATTTGTCTAGCTGTGGGGAAGTGTAAATTTTTGTTTATACATAAAGTTCAATGACTGAGAGAATCCTCTATAAACAAGCTAGACACTTTGAACAATTTCCTGTTACTGGAAAAGGGAGGTAACATGAAGCTGCTATCAGGAAGAATACATGAAAAAAATTTAAACCTCTGAAGAATGGAGGAAAGCAGTGGACTTAAGACCAGGGACATGTAACCTGAATGAAAGAGGGAACAATTGCCATGTCCTGATTTTCTCATTTTACTGTGTATACTCTTAAATGATCTCTAGAGAACCAGATAGCGATTATGATCAAATATACAGATTCCTACTCAAGCAAACATGCAAAGGATCTAGCAAGTGGTGTTCAACATCTGCTTTACAGATACTTTTATAAATGGCAAAGTAAAATTAATATATAGCACTGTCTCCAAAACTTGTTTTCAAAAGCCATCAGTCTTTCTCTCTCTCTTTTTTTTTTTTTTAGCTAGTACTTTTGCCTAGATTACATTCATTCATCAAAATCTTTCCCACATTTAGAAGTGTGGTCTGTTTTATGCAAAAATGGCTCCTGAGTGGTGACTGCAGGGAATTGACCAGGAAATTGCCTATTTTTTTTAAAAAAAAAACAACCAACAAACCAAACCCTCTGGCCTAAGTACTTGAATTTCTGTGTTGTATCAGAAGAAAATGGTTCAGTAGTCAATGGCTTAGCTTAGCCCTTGGTATGCCAAAAACTTTTGCTTGACCTGTTTACCAGTATTAGCCACACCAGACAGCTCAGGAAGATGTCTTAGTGTATTTTTGAAATAAGATGTCCTGCTCTTGCAGAAATTTAAAAAAGATCAATAGATCTGACTTCATGAAACTGCAGTAGGCATCTGGATTTCCACTGAAGGACTACTGACCCAGCAGGAATAGAAAGAAAATTTTCCATTTGCTAGAACAGGGGCATATTAATACGAATCTAAAAAGACAGAAAATACACATGCAAAGAAAAAAGAAAAAAAAAAGTGTTTCCTGCACAGTATACCTTCCATTTCTTTGCTTATTATACAATAGAAGTTACTTTAACTTCTAATACAGCTGTTCTCTCTTTTTTTTTTTTCAACCTCTCCAGTAGCCCACTTTCTTACCAGACTTCTGAAGAAAGCTTATTCACGATTTTTCTGCAACAAAAATGAATATATGACAGTGCTAATGATATCTAAATGCAGCGGAAGGACGGCTGTTTATTAGTAAATCTGCATTTAAAGATGAGTATCTTTGAGACTTTATGGATGTATTTAAAAAAAATAAATCCAAAAGAGCTCCTAACTCAAACTCCACACAAGTTCCATATCACTGCATGTCTAATGTTACTGTGGAAGCTATACAAAACTAGAGAATATATGCAAAGTCAAACATAGCCATGAACCCTTAAGCATATAAGCATGCAAAGAATTTAATGCTTGAGTAATGCCATTTGCTTTAATTGCACTGGTAATGTGTAAATGTCTATTAGACCACTGCCTGCCTCTTGTCCTTAAGTCCAGGATCACTTTGTTATCTTGTTTTCTGCAAATACCTACCCGACAAATCTCTGTAGCCACCAGCATGCTGAGACAATTGAACCAATTGTCATAGGCCTCCAAATTGTAGGTTTTGGTCACATCACCTCGGCACTGCAAGACAATCAGGCTACGTGTTAATCCTATCCTGTATCAACTCATCATACCAAAGGATAAGCTTCCTTTTCATATCTTGATAAAATCTTGCTGGATATTTCTTAAGGCATGAGCTTAAAGAAGGTTAGAAAATTGTTTCTTTTTCCCTCCATACCCTTCTTGTACCTTGTGATTATCCAGGGAGTCCATGTGGCTGACAATCTGCATCAGATCCTCTGGGTAAATGTTGCTTACCCTTTCCTGTGTTTAGAGAGATGAGAGATAGTCACTATACAGACAAACAGGGAATTCAGTGAAAAATACATCAATAAGGCCAAAGTTAGGAGAATGTTTTGGTAACCTTCATCTTCCTACAATGTAGATGTGTGGGATGGTTATTATCAGTGACCTAATTGTTCTTGTACATTACTTGGTATTTTTTGATTCAAAATACTGAAGGCTTTCAGTGAAGCCAGAGCAAAATTGATATTCATTAGCATATTAATATTTAGTAAATGGAAAATGAAATAATTCACACAAATTAGTGTCTCACCAGTTCAATGTAAGTCAGCTGCTGTGCCAAGATCAGAGGGTCACAGCACACACTCAGGATGTCCTTTTGAGTTGACTGTGGCTTGGTTTTGAGGATGGTGCCTTTGTCGGTAACAGGTTGCCGGAATTTCTCTCTGATTTCCTGGTACTGGCTCCGTGTAGAGAGGGCCATGAGGAGATTCTGTGTCATCTGGCTAATGATCTTTTTCACTGTTCCATTTTCCTAAGCAAAACGCAGAAACAATGACTGCTAAAATCTTTAGCTCTTGCAGACACAGATCACCAAAGAATTTCTGACTGAGAAAAATAAATGCCTATTATCCATTTTCTTTCATCTTACCTGATCTGATCATACTGTGACAAATGAACTTGTCCTAGCTGCCCACAAAGCTTCATAATGACATTGTTATGCCTGCCTGCACTGTCAGCTGTTTCACTTGCTTGGCTGGTCTGTCCTTGAGGCAATTTTTGGCTAGTACCCCATTTCAAAGGTATCCATGTAAACAGCTTAAAAGTGGGTACAGCGAAAGGTGGTTGTATTTCTTTCACAAAGCATCTTGGACCCTCTTGTGTACCAAGTGCCAAAAAGCTCCTTCTCATTCTGATCAGACCCAATGATGATCAAGTCTGTCTAGTGCAGGCAGAATCCAGGGAAGTCACACTATGCCCAGGAATATATCCCTAAAATACCCTGGCTTGGTTCTAAACAACTACAGCATCCAAAGATTTAGGTATGAGCACAATATACAACATGTTCTTGAACAACCAAAATACCTTTCTGTTCATCAGGTGCAGATTTTAACTATAATATCTATAAGGATACATAGATCTTCCATGGTAAAGCCACGGAAATAAAGATAATCTCAGTGTTTTGAAAACCAAGGCATGTTGAATTTTGCCATTGATTGTTTGTATCCTACAGACATTTTTCTGAGATCAACTGGAAAAAGCTAACTTGATCACTTTCCTACTCCTCTATTCCTCCTCCTGCTTTAAATAACCCAAGTTCTCTGACCCTGTTCTTCCTGCTGCTGGAAAAAATAATTCTACCACAGACAGTCCTCCTTTTTCCTACACAACTGTTCTCTTGTTTCCATGCAAAGTATTTGTCTTGAAGTTAGCCACAAGGTTTAACTGTTAGTTTACAACCTGAGGTGTTCATTTCTGCCAGTCAACTGGATATACTAGAAAGAACCGCAATGAATCTGTGATCATTCAAAGAAGCCAATAATGCAGTGATGACTGAAATTATGCAGCAGGTGTGAGAGACGATGACTACCAAATACTTGTATACTGCATGCTATAATTAAGCAATAATAGTGTCAGAATGTTGCTTTATAAGGCAATAATCTGACTCCCAAGTGAAATAAAATGAAAAGATGAAGGCAGCGTAGCTCATCTTGAGGCAACTGGATTACTGCTGAACAGCAGCTGGCTGGTGCCATTTCTGATATTGTGCTACAAGTGTTCAGAAATGCCAGAGGAGCATGGTGGGGGGACTAAAATAAAGTGCTAATTCTCCTCTCTGGTATGCTGAGCTTTCCATTATAAATCATTTGACTTCAGCCGCTATGCCTGACACCCATGTGTCTGGAGGGAAGACTTTCTCAATGTGGATCACAGAGAACCAAACTTGAAGGCAGGTGAGAGTATCACAGGTATTTTGTGAAAGTGAACAAAGAAACTGCAGTGACATGGAAAACTATGGCTTAAGTTATTGTGAATTTATTAGCATCTTAATACTTAGACAAATGCCCTTTAGAGTTGTAGCAGTTTCTTTTCATTACTAGCCTTACCCTAAATTTTCTTACAACTCTGGCAAATAAGTCAGTGAGTGTACAATAATCTGTCCTTGTTTGAGTTCAAACAAGATATCTGTACTTCCCCTGGGGCGCAACCCTGGCTGTAGCTATAGCTGTTTGGTAGCTGATATCAGTAGGACAGGCACCTGACTGCTTTGTGCAAGTTCTCAGTTGACTTTGTATCCTATGTATGGAGAATATTGTCCTAAAGGAATTTGGAAAAGATTTAAAATACAAAATAAAACCCCAAACCATTACCATAATCCCTTGTTGAAGCACAATATGTGTAATTTCTTGTGGTAACAAATACTGAGAGCAGGAGGTGTTTTTTGCCAGTGTCAGATTAGGTTTTCTATAGGTCAGATGTGGCATAGCTCTCCACTGATGAAACTTGACTTGTAGCCTTATTAAGGTGATAAACGTGGTGATGCTGGGATTAATGGATGTCATCAGATGCCTCAGACACCAGAGCACTGAGCCATTCCATGAAGATGTGTTTTTCTCAAATGATAATTTATTCATATATAACAGAGTGGGGGGGAAGAGGAAGAGAGAACACAACTTCTTTCTAGTTCAAAGTAATAGACAAATTAAATACTAAGATACAGATGCTAAATAAAACCTCTGCCAAGTCCCCTTTCACACTGCTATCTCTACCAACATACATCTCTTCACCCTTGTCTACAATAGGAATAAAAGGCATATTATAAACCTGTTTCTTTTTTCCTCTCCTACTAAGGCACTAATGTTTCATAGTAACATCCAGGTAAATTTGTTGCTGATGCAACAAAACTGACATACTTCCTTTTGACTTGGAAAACCTAATTGTATTGTGTCCTATCACTGATTTAGCAGTGCTGTCAAACCTGTTGTTTTTCATTTTCTCTGGACTTGAATCAACACAAACACACAATACAATTGTTTTTCCACTTCCTGCTACTTGTTCTCAAAAATATCTTGAAGTTGTGGCTTTAAAAACAAGGTCTTGTTTCTTCAGAGGCAATAAACTCACAGCTGTTCAGACTGCTGATTGACTAGCTAGCAGAGCTCAAATATAACTTTCTTTGTGGAAATATTGTGCATGTCACCTGAAGCATGGCAACAAAATAGTTGCTTATTATTGTTAGTAACTATCAAATAATACGCATCTTCACCTTGAGCAAGAGTACATTTGATACGACTGGTTGATATGAATCGTGGGAATTAAGACATATAGAGTAGTAACAAAGGATGGTACATAATTCATATGAAAGTTAACTATACTGTGCCATTACAGTCACTGTTTTTTCTTTTCTCCTTCTGCACCACATCCCTTTTTCATATCGTCGTGACTGTTTTGCCTCTTTTACACTTGGTGACTATACACAGACAGTTTCTGCTATTGGGCCATCAAGTTAATCGCTCAGTCTGTGTCCTGTAGTTACACTGACAGCTTAGCAACTGCTGCCGTAGTCCATTTAGAAAATACTGCATGCAGGTTTGTATATAATATGATAAACCGTATATAAAGGTTGACAAATATTGCTTTACCACTTCATGGGGGTTTTTCCTCCCCCACCCCTACCTCATCACATTGTGTGATCCGGTGAGCAATCTCTTTCAATTCTTTCATGGATTTTTCATCTTGGAAATCAGAGGGGAAAGTTTCAGTCCATTCTTTCAGGAGCTGAATGATTTTGGCAGCGAAGGATTTTAGCTTTGCCTAGAAAGAAACAATGAGTTGATTACTGACTGTAGACCTTTCTGACTGCAGAGTAAATTAGCTGATGAAGGTTCACATAAAACTAGAGACACCCTTGAAAATACTTTGCACTATAAGTATGTAAAGGGGATAAAAAAGAACATATTTAACTCTGAGCCAGTTTCCTAAATAGTATGATTTACCCTCCTTTCATGATAGCTTGGTAACATCTCTTACCAAACACTTTGAAGATATTTTCAAGGTTAGTTGTATAAAGCCAGGAAGATGACAGAATAATTTGTGACTTATTTGACTGAAGTCAATGGGGCTTAAGCTGATTTATGCCATCAGAGGCAGCAGCACCTTAGCGTTTGAATTCAAATGCATACAGACTGCAGCACTCTACCAAGCATCTTTCATGAGAAATGTTCACAAAGACATTTTTGTTCTACAGAATTTATCAGACCCTCCAGATTGAGCTGTGTATTAAAATAAATGAATGACAGGAAAGATGTGTGTGTTCTCTCCATGACATCTAAATCAAAATGGACTTTGAAATAAAAAGTACTGGCTCTTATTCAAAAAGCTATCAACCACAGAAAGGGGAGGGAGAGCTATTTTCTAAGTTCTTCTGTTACCCGTGAATCTTCTAAGGCTTTTCATTGATTAGACCTGAATTGGATGCCAATTACTCCACTGTCATAGCAATAGAGAGCAGCATCAGTAAATCGAAGGGAGCGCTATTAGAAAATTGGGAGTGTGAGTGCTAAGAATGCTTTTAATGAACAAGAAGAATCAAAACATAATTCAGGCTCTTTTTATCCTCCCCCCCCCCAACTTGTGATGCACTGAGGAAAAAAGGATGTTTTCATTTGTGTTTACCTCCCTACTTGTCCCACTAGTCCCACTACACAGCAGTTCCTTCTCCCCATGCGCAAGGCACTTTCCTCATTGCACTCTCAGCCTCTTAGGGGCTACAGAAGATGACTTAGCATGTGTCACTACAGGAAATTGCTGTATTTTCTTTTAAGACAAATAGAGAATGTCTTCCAAGAATTGATAGGAACTTCTGCCAAAACTTCATCAGATCATAGTACATCCCAATTTATTTAATCAAAACCAAAAGCCAACCAAACTAAGCTATTTTTTAAAAACTTTTTTTACATCTCACTGGTATATAATCAGTGGGAACATTAATACTGATTAATAAGAAATTCAAAGTTAAATCATGCACCCTTGAATCCTCAACTGGAAAATGAGCCAGTGCTCCTTGTAAGTCTGAAGGGAATTTTCTTGCTGTTTTTTCAGAACTGCAAATTGTGCTCTGCTAGCACGCTTTTCCTAGCTGTGTTTATTGATAGCATTTAATTGATCCTGCTAGTGAGAGAAGCACAGAAAAGTTGGATAGTGAGGGCAAAAAGAAAACATCACCATTCTCTTTGCCAGCAGCAGGCATTCCTGCCAAGCCATTTCTGCCAATGCTGCTTCTGTGGACTCCCAGGTTCAAGGTATTTCTAAGCAATGTAGGACAGAGTTCCAGATTATAGCTGTCTGTCCTCCAAACTTCCATTTTTGTCTGCCTTGGGGAAAAGACAATTTATACTTCTTTGCTAAGAAATGCACAGAGCCTGACATTATTAAAAGAATAATCTGTAGGTGATGATAGAGAATTAATTAGCCAGCCAGTGTGCTTCCATTCGATTAAGGTTAATAGATACATGCCTTCTCCACTTCTGTCGATCAAAAGTTGCTATGGAACTGGTTTTTGGTATTAATTATCCTGACTATCCTTCCTTTTTAACTTTTGAAACTGAAAAAGGAGGGATGGGGGCAGGAAGGTTCCAAAATCCTTTCTTAGGCCATGACAAGTATCTCCATATGAAGACTGACTTCCCATCTCATGTATCTACTCATGAGTTGCTAGGGTTTGCTTCCTTCACAATAGAAAGCTAGGCATCTGTTGCAACACAAACTGCAAACCATATTACTCCTCATGTAATTACTCTTCAGGCGTGGAAAAAGCTTAATGTTTTAGCAAATGTTTTTAATGCTTATGAAAATAAGGTATGTTTTCTGATAGCAACACTAAAAACCCATCAATACAGCAAAACATGATATTCCTGTTTCACATGCACTGTGATGAAACCCAAGGCAGCATGACAGGCTTGATGCACATAATTTGTGATAACCTAGATAGAAATCACACAGATATGTGGGTAGCAGTACATATTTTCGTTTTTGTCATGGTTGCAATAAACCTACCAACCTACTTCTTCTGTAGTCCTACTCTAAATGTAGGGCTCCCCCTGTGAGGCCTGACACAGAGTTCTCTGGAATCTATCAGAATACTTCTCCCATAAATATTTATTTGAGAAGCAAAATACTTCTATTAATTTAAGTACTGTGGATCAGCACTGTTTTGCAAGAGACAAGACAGACAGGACTGAGAAACAGCTACCAATTAGAAAGGAGGGCAATGGCAGTACTGTACTTGTAGGAAGGGAGTTTTAATGAAAATGACCCAGTTATGAATACTGTTTTGATTTTTGGTTTTTAGGAGGAGAACTTAGTGGCAACAAAAAATAGGGAAATCGTAATTTTTGAAGGGACTGATGTATTCCAAGACAGACAAGACAAGCTTTAGGAGAAATTAACTTCTCTTTTTATTTCTTACTACTTGAAATTTTGATTTTAAACATACCCTCAAGCTGCAGAAATAATGCACCACAGTTTTAACAACAGGTTTTTCCACTTGAATAATACTATGCAAGTACTTTTTCCTGTGACAATCTTGCTTAGGTCCTTCCAATCTCTCATAGGCTTATAGAGTTAAATTTTATCCTTTATGGTCAAGCTTAACTACTGACTTGTATATTATAATTGATGTCTTAAACTGTGAAACACTTCCTTTTTATGAGTGGCCAGAAAGACTCTAAGCAGGCTCCAAGACATCCCAGAGCGTTTTTCTTATTAATCCACTTTTCTCTGAGTTGTTTTCTATAGGACTCTTTGGCTAATCAGGACTGTCAAAAACAAAGGAATTCTAAGTATTGTGATGCATAACCTCAAAACCTGGCTCCTTGCCACTTTTTCAGTTAAGACACTATCCAGGCTACAAGTCAGCCACCTTCTTGTCTGAAGAGATTTGCATAAGCAAACTCTATCAGAAATGATCAGAGCTGCTTTAACTACTTTTGCCACTGGCTATTTCCTGTTACAGATCCACTTAATTAGAAAGTACTGGTAGCTGATGATACATTAATGGGTTACAACTGTGAATACTGAGAGTGTCTTGAGTCAAGAATTTCTATGCTGCAAGTGAAATGAGCTTTTATTTGTTGCAAGACAGAAAAATGCTTGCAAATGCTAGTGGCTAGAATTATTCTGTAAAACATATAGGTGCTTGCAGTAGAGGACAGTAAAGTACTCATTTGAGAAGGATGTCAGAATTTCATGTAGTGCTTTTCAAGAATTTTGTGTTTAGTGGGCAGGAAAAAAATACAGATTATATCAAGGGGGTAGGAAGGGATCAAGGCCATAGCAGAAAAAGCAAGCAGCAAAGCATGTAAATTAAAAGCAGCCTCCCAAACACTCATGTTTTATTGTCACCCTGATGTTTGTTGGTTTTCCTGTAGGCCATTTCCAAATTGTCAGCAGAAGGTGTAAGAGTGTGGGTGTTTGGAATATGAGCTGCTCTATTTTACATCCTGTTGTTTGGGTGTAATGCCATTTCATTTCAATGTGGAAGCATGATTTTTTTTTAACACATCTGCTGAAAAGACAGAACGATACTATTTTATCTTAATACTACTAATATATTAAACAGCCAGGTCATTTAGTCCCCAGATAACTGTTTTAATTTTAAAATCTCCTAAGTGCATTGTTATTTGCAAATGTTTCATTTTATATCCCATTATTTTTAAATCCAAGTATTTAATATATATTCTGACACTAGCTACTGACAGCAGTCTTTCTCTTCATATATCTACAGATCAGTTTTACTCGTTCCACATTTCAGATGGTCCCAGCATCTCTTACAAGTTCCTACTCTGTTGTTTAGTTACATGTTGCTGAGGAACCACTACAATTTACAGAGTATCAATCTGAAGTGGCTTAGTCATGACCTAGTTTGGCAGTGGCTATAGAAACAGATATCACCTCTGTGTACAAAGCTGGATGCAGTGGTCCTTGCACCTTCTCTCCCCAACCCCCTGAATTCCCCAGCACCTATATGATGAGTTACATGCTATTTGGCAAGGAGATCAGAAGACATGAATGAAAGTCATTTTGCACCAAGTGGTTAGTTTTTCCTGTGGAGTAATTTTGTGATGTAATAAGACTGCACCCCAGGAATAACAAAGGAGAACAGAGCCCTTAATTCGGTATTGCTGTGAAAAACTCTGTATTGCCAAAAAACAGGGTTAAGTTTTGTGCTCCCCAGTCGGAGTTCTGATATACCAGGGAGAAAACAAAATGGAACCATCAACATTCTGAAGATTAGGAATGTAAGCATGTAATTTCTCACCATAGAATAATGGATCCAAAACATGCCAAGGATTTGAACAATTTAGGTCTTTAAATACTTGCTGATTTAATCTTGTTTCTGTCACTCTTATGTGCATCGCAGCTTGGACTATTCCGGTACTTCAATTTCAGTCAGAAGCCCTTCAATATACACTTTCCATAATGGTGAGACTTAGATGGATTTAAGTGTGTATCATAAACTGACCCAGCTTGGTTTAATCAGTTGTAGTAAAACTGCATAGTCACATGTGTCAGCACAGGATAGCATTTTAAGTAGTGCATCCCTTAATTTTCATGAGAGATAACTTCCTAATTTAATGTTACACCAACTTAAAACACCCCACCAATAACCTCCAGCAGAGCACTCAACTCTAACAGGATGGCAAGGGTGATTGGAGAAAGGGCAATCAGATTCAAGAAAGACCTAACTTGGTGAAAGCTCGAAAGTGCAAAGCAACTTGCTGGGCAGGTCTCACAGCAGATACACAGTGCACAGTTCTTCGGTGCACAGCACAGACTTGTAGCTCATGAGCAAAGTTGTATTTCCAGCCACTGTATCTGACTGGTAAGGTAGCACATAATCTATGTTTGTGGCTATCAAATAGGCAACAGTACTTCAAGGAAAAGGACCCAAATAAAAATGCATCCAATGCTGCCAATTACAATTTATACTTTATCCTCTATTTAGCTTTACAATGAGAAGGAGAAAGTGGAAAACAACTGACAGTAGCACAGCTAACAGAAGGACATAATGGTTCATTTACCTTTTCTGCCTCAGTCCCCATTTCCAGCTGCTGCTTCTGTTTAATGCAGATCTGCCCCACTTTAGCCAGGAGCTCGTGTGGGTGAATGAAGACTCGTGAGCTCAATAGGAAAGTGAAGATGTAAGTCCTCTGTGGAAGAAAAAAAAAATAGTTTAGTAACTTTAGCAGAAATAATCTGTCTTCCTTGAAAAAACTATTCCATAAACTACAAATGTAACTCTCCTTCATTTAAACTTTTTATATTTTTTCCTGTCTCTGAAGATGTGGTGGACTGCTCTAGCTGTTAAAAGGAAATGCTGTAGGCTTCAAGGCTGTTAACTGTGGTGTTTTCTGATTCCCAAATTATTTCCCTTTAAAATACCAATCTTAATATGCCTAACTAGTCATCACTCAACAAAAAGACAGATGAAATATGTCCAGTGTAGGCTGTTATACCTCTTGAACACCACTATTTCTGCTGCTTTGTTTCTTTAAGAGTGATCGTTTTTCATTGAGCTGCAGAAAACTGATTCATGTGTATTCCAAACCAGAGCTGTAATTTCTACATGTATGGGGGTTTTTTTGTTCCTTTTTCCCACAATCACTGAACACAAGCTTTACCTTGGATTGTGGCCATATGACAATAATTTAGTTTTAAAATTGACTTCACTTATCTGGGGCCTGTTTCAGAGTTGCTTGAGTATGAATGCTGCTAAATGAACGCTGCTAATAAATGCCAAGCTCATTAGAATATAGCCTCTCCATTTGTCATTTAAAAGCTGTAATGCACTGTATTCTGAATTGTACTCTGGAGAGTTTAGTTGGGCATGAAGGCATTCTCACTTCTAGTCTTGCTTCAGTGTTTGAAATTTGGCTTCTATATGTTAATGTAATTGCCTGAGTAATGACAGCAGCATCTCATAAGCACTCCTCTTTTTCGTTTAGGCTTTTTGACAAAATTTCAGTCAGGAAATTACAGGGGATCTCCATGACAATGGATTTCAATTAACCTTTGTTATGTCTGCAGTGTGTACTCTTACTTGCACCCTGTTTTTAGAAATGTGATTGGGGAGGCCACAGCCAAGTGTGCATATAAATAATCAGTGTGTGCATATACCACCTTGGACTAGGCAAGTAAATTGAGACATCTAAAAACTTAAGACAAGTTGTCTAAAATATGTCATCTCTACTATTAGCTACCGAATTCTGCTGCCTGCAGTCTCTGAAACGCACTTGTTAAACTGTAATGATATCTTTAGGAGTCCAAAAAGGTTATGGGGTTTATCTCTCTAATCACAATAAAGCATGCTATTAATGAAAAATGTTTCCACTTTTTTAGTACTCAGTGTGCCCTATAATATAAATTTAGCACTAAATACCTCCAGATATCAGAAGGGGAAAAATGAATGTTTGGGTTTTTTTTAAAGTAATAAACAAAGTTAACTAAAAGTCACGGTGTTCTGGGAGCAAACAGTATAATAGATTAAGCATATATCTATTAAACACCTGACTCTGTCCTGAGCTTGTGGACAAAGCTAATGAAAGAACAGAGTGGAGTGTGATACAGCAGAGGCATTTAAAATGCTCATTCTGATTTGAAGATCATATTAACACTGGGGTTCATGTATTAAATCAGGAATAACATTAATTCTGTACAATCAAAACCGGAGTTAATCCATAGTCTTTGCCTTGTCTATTGTTTATGAATCGAGGAAGAGAGGAGAAGGGTTAACTGGATGGACAGTTTGGGCCAGGTTCCTGAGTAGTGCTTCCGCTGATACCTGCAGAGGATGGACAGCTGGGCCACCTAACAATCAGGCTCTTGGTGACTTTGAGCAGGTGGCCAGACCAGTGGCTGGACACTGACAACATGATGTCCCTTCTTGATGGAATGGTTGCAAACTTACCACGCAAATGTACACTGAGAAAAATTAAGAAACTGGACTTCTGTTTGGTATTTTTTTATGTCTCTCTCCAGAATTTCCGAGTTTATTTTTACATTTACAATGACAAAAAACTGAAGTTTGTTATTTTTAAAAAGAAATTCAAAGTAGCTCTTATACCTGTATCTGGAAATGATGACATTGTGTAAGCTTTGGAGAAGCTTTATAAAAATCTACAGTAGTGTATGAGGTGTGTTATGAGCACTAAAATTAGGCTGAAGAGCTAACCTCATTCACAAAAGGGGGCTTAGTTGTATTATGAGACAAGGTGTCAGACCTTTAATTCTTATGTATGTGAGAACGATCCCTAAACTAATACAGTCCCCACTCAGAATGAAAGCAAGAAAATGAACAGTGTTGGGATGTGAGATTTTTTTTTGGAGGGGGGGGGCTGGTGGTAGGGTATTTTTTGTTTGTGTTTTAGACTATACCTGGTTATCCTCTGTTGGTTTTAGTAGCCAGCTTCTTTGTTCATTTCTATCAGTGTTAAGTTAAACTTAAAACTGTGAGTCTGGAATATCTGGGAAGGGAATTTAGCTGTTGGCTGTGTCAGTTGTCACTGAGTTGTATGAAAATTTTTGTTCTGGAAGTATGAAGTAGCCCCCACTTTTACCATATTTTGTATTTGAGATACATGGGGAATAAAAAAAAAAACCACTTTGATATTTTCATCCCTTCCCCACATCCTTGTTTTGGGAGTTTAGAAGCCTGTCTGAAAGATGCCTCTATGTTTAAGTAGCAGGGAACCACAACTTAAGCCATGTTGCCCTGCCAGTGACCTTCGCTCTGATAAGCTGGAACACATTATTCTAAGGAAAGATATAATTTTGCTTCTCATACTAATTCTAGTGTTGGTCTCCTTGGTGGAAGTTTGTGTGATGTGGGACAGTGTACATCCAGAGTGACTCTGAGAAAGGCCCATTCAAAGTATCATTTCCCTATTATCACACTGAAAGATGAGTGTGACCCAGATGACCTGTGCTTTTATTTCTTTTCTTTGACAATGTTTTATATGCTGTTCTAAAAAAAGTGACAAACTGGCAAGATGCAGGAAGACACATGGCCATAGAGGTGCATACTTTCCATTTTGTGTTTGCTGATGTCTCTCTGTAATCAGTAATATCTGTATTGGACCCATGCAATGCTTTTCCAAACACTGGACTAGGTTTTAGAAACAAATTATTATTACTGCTGGAACCCATCTGCTGTATTTTTATTAAATTTTTTAAATCACTTAACTGAAACTAAGTTCAGTACTTTGGAAAACAAATTGTTCCATTATGGTCAATCAAGACATGCAGTTTTACAATATACTGGCACCTAATTGTGGGGTGCGTGTGTGTGATACTTTTATTGCTTATGCTGGCATAGACAGGGAGTAACTGCAATTAAAATTAAAAATTGGTAGGTCTGACAGCAGTATTGAACCCCATCTCATTGCCTCTCTGCTAATAGCTACTCCCTATCCAATAAAGAAAACTGAGGTTGAACCAAGCCGTACCCTTCAGCTTAGTGGTAGGTCCTGGGGGTTAGGAACACAGGTGTTTTGGACAGGAAATAGTTCATACTAATGTCATATGCTTTATCGAGATCAAAGATTTCTGTGATTTGTTGCACCTGTACTACTATACATATATAAGTTCAATGTGACCGCTCTCTCAAAGGCAGTCCCCTAATCATGAAGATCACAGTTTGGAGAAAGAAATTCAGCTATGAAGCTAGCTGATTTGACAAATGACGATTAAAAAATGTTTCCATAAGCTATGAGATTGAAAGTTAAGCTCCATTTATCCTACAAAAGCGACAGGTATTTGGGAGGAGTGGCAAAAAAACCCCACCTTTCTATGCTTGGAACAACTTAAGCTGATACAAAAGGGGCTTGTGCTTTACAAGAGAGTAAGAAGTCAGATTCCTTTAGTGCCTAAAGTTGCTGCTAAGAGATGAGCTGAATTATATTTGGGGGAAAAAAAAAAAAAAAAAAAAAAAAGAGAGAGAGAGCGTGAGTGCACAAGACTAAAGAAGGAATTGTTACTCTCTGACCCAAGAATGCACTGCTGTCGTCTTGAGGAGAAAAAAAAATATTTTTTTTTTTGTGTGCTTGTTGCTCATTCTGGAACTTCTTGTTTGTGAAATATTTTCTTGAAACATTTTCTTGCTTGGGCACAAGGGTTGCAGACTGGTACATTCCATTCCTAACCTCCCAAACTCCTCCGTCTCATGAGCATACATTTTTCTATGTGCTGAACAAATCCCTGCACACAAACAAACCTCGAAAGATCAGTACACAAATGTAGGCCCTTATCTTTCCCATCCTCCCTTGCCTGTGTCCTGTTCTGCCAACATGGCAAATAACTTTTGTTTTGCCTCTGTAGCCAGCACAGAAAGATACTCTGTGTTTGCTCTCCTCCCCACACCCAACCAAAAATTTGGATGAGTACTGCAATTTACAGATATGTCACTCTGAAACTAATGTAATCTCTGCTAATGTTACCAATAGCTTCTCTTGGGACCAATTAGTTAGTGATGCCTTGCTGCCTTTCTTTGTATGTGTAGTCAGAGACATGAGACTGAGCGGTGTTATACCTTTCTCTTGAACGCACAGCATTGGCTGCTCTTTTGACAGGATACCAGGGTAAATGGCTATCACTAATCCCTCTGGCAACTTCCCTAAAAATAGAATGGAGCATGAAATTAAGTATAAACATGCAACTAAACTGAAACAGAAAACTTGAAGATGACTTAAATATAGCTCCTTTTTTATGTTGTTCAAAGCTTATTTATCTACTCATTTTATAATTGATCCTTTCAGCTAAATTGGGTGATCTAACTAAAAGAATGTGTGATGCTGTAGAGGAGATGAATTTGGTTTAATGTCTTCCATCTCTGTTTCCCTGGAGTTCACTTGATTTGCTTCTGTTCTATCTCTCAGCTGTCAGCTTGCTGTCTATTTAAACTGCAGCCTCCCAGGGTGGGGGCTTGTAACTGCTTGGTTCGCAGTGCTCCCTTGCACAGGGTAATGGACAGCACCATGGAAACTAGCTGCATTCCAAAATAAGTTGTAGACCCCTTAAGTAATGCTCACTGTATTGAACCATTTTTAGAGTAGCTGTGTTATAAATAGAAGTGTTTAAAAGTTACAATAAAGGATGTGTTATTAGCAGCTACTTAAACTTAGCTATAGTTCAGAAATCCAAGCAGCAAGTAACTGTATTCTAGTATCACACAACAGACAAGAAACTGACTCCTTGGAAGGTTTAACTACAGCAGCCTATTCACTGGTATACCATACCAGCTCTACCTGCTGCTTTTTTCTGCATGTCTGTTCTACAATACATATTGGGGGCAGGGAGCAGAGATGTAATGTCTAACAATGGTTATCCCTCCATGTCTTATAAAAGACTTGATACTAAATCAGCATCTGTCAAAGGTAGTGCAATGGTATGTTAGCATATTTAAATGCAAGATTTAGGATTACTTTGGAACTGGACTATTAAAACATCCTGCATTTGCTTCGTTAAATCTTTTATTGATGATTGCTGCTGGCAGTTCTACTATGTTTACACCCACTGAACTCTCCATATGGGGAGTCCCTTTCTTGTGTATGCTGATTGTGAAGATGGGTGGTATACGTGGGAGCTTGGAGGGACTTTATCATGACTGATGTGAAACCACAGTAAAAAGATCTACATGAATTAGACTGAAAAACATACAAGAAGATGCAGCACGGCCTACTACTGCAACCGTTAAGTTCAACATATAAGTTAACAGCGATTGTAATTTCCTACAGCCTTGTCAGTCTTTACAAAGAACTGGGATGCTTCTGCCATAGATGCCACTTTGTAAGAGCTCAAAGGGAATACATGCTATATATCCCCTCTGATCTTTGGCAGCTTGTTTAAATAACATTTTTCATTAATGGGTACAAGGCATAATTTTAAGTGATAAAGCAATCTGTCAAATATCCTAGGTTTAGAATCTTATTACATGCCCCTGAGTTATAGTATAAGTAGTATTTACTTCAGGGGACTGCACTGAGGATGTTTAATCAGTTGCAAAATCATTTTCAGGCTCAGGAACATACATTATTACAGTGCTGGCCCATTAAAATGTCTTGAGAAAGAGAGTGTTTTAATTAAAATCCATTTTTGTTTATTTATGATGGTTTAACTAGGAGTTGCATAGAAAATTAAGGAAAAAAAAATACTAGAGCTGATTTCAGGTCTGCTTCCCTAGGTAGGATCTGGTTAGTAGTTAATCTTGGCTGCATTAGAGCTAAAGCAGCTTAGAGAGATTGGAAATTCTGTGGCTAATGCTGCTTTTAATTGGTTCTTAAGGCAGCCATTTGGGTTCAACATGGCTTTATCTTTCTAACAAGTGTTCTCATTTAAAAGCAGAAAGGAGAGTATCCCCACTGAGAAGCATCTTTAGTGAATGAATATCATGAGTAAAATAGATGTGTCTTTAGCATACTTCTTAATCTTGAATCAGATGGAGGTAGAATTTCTTGAGGAAGCACTAACGCAGGAAAACTATGGGAAGAAAAAAAAGCCCTTCAGTGGCTACTTACATCTGGATAATAGTCCATGGTGGGCACCAGGCGCTCTATCAAGGCCTCCAGTGATCCAGAAACAAGATTCCCATCCTGATAAACAGGGTCGACACACCTCTCTCCCATATCTGGCTGCACTTGTCCACTACAACTGGAACCAAGCATGCTGGAAAATATTGGCGTCTGGGGCATAGTTTCCTGCAGAAGCAGCAAAAAACAGAGTGTTAAGCTTTCTTTCAGGATGTCTTACATGTGGGTTTTACAGAGGCATACATTAAACACAATTACATATTTGACTGAATGCAGCCTGGGCATTTGAGCTAAATTCTGAATCCAAGCTGTCAGACATCTGTAAGCTGGCTTTGGGGTTTGAAATGCACCTTAAACTATGTCACGAAGGTTGCAGATGATGAAGGTCTAAGAATTTTCTTCACTGTACTTAATTTCTCCTTTCTCCCCAGTCTCTTTATGCATAAAACTATAGAGGGATGAAAATGCAAAATGATTTATGAATTTCAAAGATACTGAAGTAGTGCCTTACTAAACAAACAATAAATACTGTGTCTTAATATACCTATTTTTACTCTTTTTTGAAGTCAGATCTTTGGCTAAAATACTTGCCTTGTGGTATAAATCCTCCACCACTTACGTAGCTAGATGTAATCCAGGTCTCGACAGAATGCATGTTCTCCTGCACATAGATATCACTAGAAAAAGTGGGGAACATACCATCTGAACAAAATTGCCTTTCTTTTTTTTCTGGTACATGAAACCATGAACTACATGGAACTGAACGCTGTGACATATACTGTAATAGATAACTCTAATGAGTCTCTTTGGAGATTTTTGTTTAGGAAACAAACCTGCTGTTGCAATAGAAAACCCACAAGGTTTGGGATTTCCACCTCCCTCTCCTTTGCGAAAGCTCTATCAGTATACAGTAGTTACCAACTGTGATAAAACTAGGGGGTTTTTTTGTTTGTTTGTTTTAAACTGGCTACAGCTTAAATATATGCAGAAGGCGAAACAAAACATCCTGCTACTGTATGCAAAGGCTGCAAACACTATTCAGCATCAGTATCAAAACACTTCCCCCTGTCTGCTGCAATAGTTAATACTGTTTAGAACATAAAGTGAAAGAAGGCAGCGTTAACTCCTTAGCTGCTGTCTCACCATCTATGAAACAAACATGGTATTGTCACAGTCTGAGAAGCACTTACATAGATGAAAAGGATTAGGCCACTTCCAGTACCCTTAAACTGACAGCTGTTTCTAACCACAATCGTGTCTTCCATGTAATTTCTCTCTTTAGCCATTTTTCAAAAACCAGTTTAAGACCTGAAAACATTAAATGCTGTAAGGGTGGGGGTTTGGGTTTTTTTTTGTTTTTGTTTTTGTTTGTTTGTTTGTTTTAGGTAGCACTTTAAACAACTGCAGAGCAAAGCTGTACTTTGTATTCTTTTAATGCAAGGCACATTCTTCCTCCCAAATGCTCCAAAGTGATCATTCACGTTTACAACCTAGGATACAAAACATTTGTCTGTTTTTAAGCTCAGATGAATGTATTAACAATACTTGCTCATCAAGGTGACAGATTTATTTATGTATCAGGCTGATAAGTAGAATTGTTCTGTGGCATTAACCAGAAGACCTTTCTGCATTCATACATGATACAGATAAAAAGGAAGTGTAATTCCTTTTAAGTTAAAATATAGCATCTGTTTAATAGCAACCAGGAAGATTACTCTGAGGAATGAAGTTCAGTTTCAGAAGTTCAGGACATACAGTCAAATAAAAAGAAAATGGTGGATCTAGTGCCATATCAAAAGAAATGACAAATGACAATTCTGCACCAACAGGCATTAAGGTTACTCAGTATTTCACAATTTGTTAGGCCCTAAGATTTGCAGTACACAACAATCTGACAAATCGCTGGAGCATACGATGAAGACGACAGCTCTGCTATGCGTACTATGTAACTCTCCAGTAATCTGGGGTTTTTTTTCCCTTTTAAGGTCCAAGCAATAGAACTGAAAGCTACTTCTGAGGCTGGACAGACTGTGATGGGTACTTCTGGATAATAATATCAAGTTGCACAGGGTCTTAAGGGAATTTAACCACCAATTAAGCACCCACTGAAAAGATGATTTAGGAGGAAACACGTTCCGGTTTTGCCATCAAGTGTTTTAAACTCCTTTAAGACGTTCGTTTTTACAACGGTTTTGTTTTTAAAGGCCCTTTGCAAGAGCAGCCTGTACCGATCCTGCCGGATTGCCCTGGCCCCCGCGGCGGGGCTGGCT